AGGGATATTTTGGAAAGGTCTAGAGTAGATGACTACGGCATTGTGCATCTGGCGAGGAATCATGCTTGGGTCAATCCGTGGAACCCTGCGATAGCAAGCTGCATCCGCTCGAACCACGATATTTCCTGGATTCCAACTATGTCAAAATCGCTGTCGCTTCTTTATTACATCACAAACTATGCGACGAAGGATGATGTCTCGCCGGGTCAGATAGTAGCCAAAGCTGCCCTGCTCAAACAAGCTATCTATCGCGCAAACTCTGCTTCTGCACCGCGCCAAGTGGATATGAGACTACGTGAGAGAGGTATGGACAAATTCGCTCTCCGCTGTTTCAACAGTCTCTCGCAAGACCGTGAGGTGAGTGGCGTGCAGGTAGCAAGCACAATACTTCAACTTCCCTCGTATTATACATTGAATTACAATTTTTCCCGGATCAACCTCTGGTGGTTGAGACGATACGTTCGGTCGATAATCCACCCCGAGAAGCTTCAGAGTCAGACACCCTCGGATTCCATCGGAGAGGAACCATGCAATTATGATCGATGTACCATGACACCTGCGAACGTATTTGATAACTACAAGTTTCGAGGTGATCTTCTATCATCCTTGTGCATCTTCGAGTACTGCATGGTAGTCCGCACGAAGAGACTTCAGGACGCGACGGCCGAAGATATACCGTTTCACGAAACGCATCCGCGATACCCGACGCAGGTCCAAAGGCTGGCCCGGTCCACTTCTCAACTATCCACCGTCACCTTACAAGGCGAGCTAACAGAATATCAGTCCTCAGAAGATGCTGTGTTAGGTGGCCATCCTCTAACTGCAGCGATTCAGAATGATCTAGCCGAGATCCTCCTTGGTCTGTTCATTCCCTGGCAGAATCTACACTCGCTGTTTCACGAAGCACCAACTGCAACTGGCAGCACGACTGGCGATCTTCACTACACCTGGATTTCGGTGGAACCAACCCTTCCTTCGTATATTCGAACTTTCGCGCAAAACATCGAGCTTTTACGGAAGTCGAAAGAGGATTGCCATGCTGATATGACTCTGCGCAATCTCTCTCATCAACATACATCCCCGCTGGATCAGGAACTCACCATTCCGCCTTATCCTGTTTCAGATTCCGAGGACGAGTCCATGTTAAATTCGCAAACGGGTGACTCTTTCTGCAAGGAAACGCTTTTGGCCGCGTTTTTGTCAATAAGCCGAGGCTGGTCGAATGATGCATATGATGCACAACAACAAATCCCCAATCTTTGCTCCACAGCTTTTCCATCTTCCACTCTTCAGTTTGACACATTTGCATCAATTCCAACTTCAAATGCCGCCTTATACGAATTGACTGGCCTTCAATTGCTCTCGTCTTTGACCTTGCAGGAATGGAAAACGAGACTCGATAATCTAACCAAACCCAGGGATCCAAATGAACAGTCCGACGAAGCCATTGCACTTAACTCTGATCTTGATGACTTCAATTTTGAGTTGACCGATGAAGTTTTAGTCCCCATGCTTACCCACTCAGGGCCCTCCGATGACTTGCAAGACCATCATATCGATATAAGTCAGAGCCCAACGGGCGCATCGATAACGTCAATCATTTGCGATACTGTGCCATTGAATGGGAAACAACGTCTTGTTGTGGAGAAGGTCATGACCGATCTGCTGGCCTGTGCTGACAACCCCTATGATTCTGCTTCCCGGAGTCAGACTTTGCTTTACATAGGTGGTGAGGGTGGGGTAGGAAAAAGTCAAATCATTAAAGCCGTTGTCGCAGCAATGGACCTAATACATCGCAAGGAGGAAGTCATTCTTATGGCACCCACAGGGGCAGCTGCTGATGTTATTGGGGGCAGCACGTACCACACGTCTCTTGGGATCTCACTGAACCGGTATAGACAGGGAGGGTGAGTCCTAGGGTTCGCAGACTTTGGTCTCGGAAAACCGTCATGGTCATAGATGAGATCAGCATGGTCGACCTGGCCGCATTGAGCATTATCAATACACACTGCAAGATTGCTCGATCTCTGGATAGGTCGTCAACCGATCTTTTTGGAGGATTGCCCGTGGTGATTTTGATGGGAGATTTCCATCAATTTCCTCCAGTTCAGGGCCAACCCTTATGGAAACTTCCGAGGAACGACACGGAACAGGACGGTAAATTGATCTGGAATCAATTTAAACAGGTTGTCATCCTCAACGAGCAAATGCGCCAGGCAGAGGACGTATCATACAGAGACCTGTTAAGTCGGGCGAGGTCCGGTAAACTGACCTCCGACGATCTGGCGATGCTAAATTCAAAAGCGATTTCTTCGCTCGCCGATCCCCAATTGCAAACATCGCCGGCCATCGTCAAATTGAATTCGCTGCGTCATGTCATAAACCGCCTTCAAATTGAACGTTTTGCTCGCGCCAGACGTCAGAGAATCTTCGTTTTCCCGGCCGTCCACACTCGAACGAAATCCTCAGGCCCGACCGCCCTTCGCTTGCGGGCGGATCACTTGCTGGGATTGCCGGAGCAAGGCGCCAAGATTCCATTTCCTGGGCTCATTCTCTACACTCTTTCCATGCTGACAATGGTGCTGACGAACATTTGCACGCCAGCGGGCCTAGTAAATGGTGCCACCGGCCGAGCCGCAGGCGTAGCGGTTGACCCCGAAGGTAAGTCACTAACACAAATATATAATCTCACCATTCTGAAGCGAGCCACGTGCGATTAGCGGAATTCATAGAATTGGACAGCCAATACATTTTTTGTACGAGACCACCACTCTGTCTTCTTTTCAAACCCGCACGCACACAGGCAAATTATTCCTATTTCGAAGACGGTTCCTTGCCTATCTTTCCGCTCGAGATGTCTATCACGTGAAAGGCTATTCAGTCCGACGAAAGCAGATCCCGGTCTGTCCAGCATTTTGTCTCACTGACTATAAGATTCAAGGTGCGACTCTCGATTCTGCCATTCTAGATCTGAAAAATGATCGCAAGAATCGGTGGTACGGCTCTCACCGAAAATACTGTTCAACATATGTACAGTTATCGCGTTTGCGATCGATGGGTGGTCTTCACCTCCTGCAGCCGATCGGCATGAGTGATATCGAGCAGAGACCGGACCCTCATCTCCTGGAAGAAATGCGAAGGCTAGATTTACTGCAACAAGAGACCCTTGGTGCATGGCAAACCAGTGCTTGCGGATGAATAGCAAATTCATCCAATCATCCTTGGACACATGCGATTTGCATTCGTAAGCAGTAGTCACGCATACAAGTGCACCATTTTTCAACAACTGGCCATACTTTAAGACTCATCACATTTTCGCTCGTATCTGCAGAATGTACCCTGCGTGCCGTGAGCGTGCACGAAGTAGACTACCTCCCTGACACGCCCTTTCAGATCAACGAAGTGAATTAATACCCCGCGTTCCCTTCTACGTGCCTTTCTAGTTGTATTTTATAGCATTTGTTGTTTCACCACCCCTGCTTGCTGTCGAGTGGCTAAATTTTTTTTTTCAACATGCCATCAAATAAATCCTTTCCCGCTATATTACACGTGCGCGATTTCGTCGAACATGTTGAACCAGATCCAACGCGTCCGGGTAAAGGGCTCTCGATGCAGTTACGTGTTTCGCTTAATATACCGTTCAAAGATATTGAATCAGACGATGTTGAATCAAATGACATCCCCACTTTCATTAGATTCTTCAATGAGGGCAATCACTCTGTTATTTACCAACCCAATACTTTTATTTATTCGTCTGGGGTTTTTTTCACTACCTTATCTGAAGATGGCGGATTCCACATTGTACTCCATGCTCATAATTTGGACCGGTCGGTACATCTATACCATATCGACCAAAGTACTTTGCTAATACCATGCAGCCATCCGGGGGATCAAGAGGATACGGATTCATACTTTATGCACTGTCCCGGTGCTGCCCAGCCCATAGTGACTTTTCTCGGCGTCGTTCTTGAACGCAGAGGACAATTGAACGACGGACGAAATTTACTTCACTATCGTCTTCAAACAACTGTTTACAACCCATCAACTCGTACGCCTCATACGTTTCCCATAACCGCTTTCTTTAAGAACGGGCAGCGTTGGGCAAACTTCCCACCGCTCTATGCCAACGCCTCTGTGTTTGTGACGGGTCGCATATTTGGCCTCACCAAAGAGAATCGTCAGTTAGCTGTTGTAACAGATGACATCCATTTCCTGCTAACAGCAACAAGTAGTCTTCCCCCAACCCCTTCTTCTGCGTCCGGAAAAAGAAAACGCGTTGACCGCTGGTCCCAAAGGGCTGGGCCAACAACACCGTCCAAATCTACGTCGGAATCTCATAATCCGCAGCTTGCAAATCCCATGACAGCGAATACTCTTGTTGACGAAGACGAGGAAGGCACTCAGATTACGTGGGCTGACACTTTGGACGAACCCGAGAGATCACCACAAGCAAGCACCCCTACGCCAGAGAGACGTTCACAAAGACCAAGAAAGACTTCATACTGTACGCCGATATACTTGCACAGTCGAAATAAGAATCCGGCCAAGGATTCGAAACTTACTCCATCTCGCGTTGCGGGTATTAGTCATTCGGAAGGCTTCTTTTCATTGGCTCGTAGAATTCATTCGCATTTCCACTTCATTCAAAACGCTTCAACGCTGCTTTTCGCTTCCAATGCCTATTCCTCCTGACTTTCGTTTCAGGGCCGATGCGTGCAACGCGCGCGTCTTCCAGTCAAATACGCCATAAAACGCGATACAGCCAAGCAGGGGTTCTCCCTGCAGTAACCAAAAAAGGGTTAGCGTAGTTTCGGGTACGGGCCGAGAAACACAGCGTGTGTCCCTACAGGGGAATCTGTTTTCGAAATCAACTGAATGTGAGGAAACAGGGAGCAGTGCATGACAGTTTGATGAACGATGAAGAGACACGGGACGCAGTGGCACTCGCGATTCAGGAACCCCAAGCGAGGAGAATCCAAGGGCGGCTCGTGACAACCCCGATGGCACATCACAAATGGACCAAGATGGTTCCCTCCGCTTGGAGGGAGGGCCGATGGGCAATCCGAAGCATGCTGTGGGTAAATAAGGATGTGGAAGCGGAGCAAGTGCCGATCGAGTCGCCGGACCTGACCGCAGCGGTCATCCGCCTCCCGGAGCGCCTGATATTTATGGCATCGGTCTACGTAGAGGGCGGAGATGCCGTAGCGTTGGACGACGCATGTGATCGCCTCAGAAAAGCAATCAGTAAGGTACGGCAAGACGCGGGAACGGTGGTGGAGATCATGATCGTGGGAGACTTTAACCGCCACGATCAGCTCTGGGGAGGAGACGAAGTGTCTTTGACAAGACAGGGAGAGGCGGATCCAATCATCGACCTCATGAACGAATTTTCTCTTAGCAGCCTACTCAAACGAGGCACCAAGACATGGCACGGCGGAGGACAGAATGGGGACTGCGAGTCCACGATCGACCTCGTCCTGGCCTCAGAAAACTTGACACAATCTATGGTCAAATGTGCGATACATGGGACAGAGCACGGCTCGGACCACTGCGCCATTGACACCGTTTTTGACGCCCCGTGGCCGGCTCCACAACATCCAGAGCGACTTTTGCTGAAAAATGCGCCATGGAAGGAAATCAATGCCCGGATTGCGACGGCGCTCGTCGCCACCCCGTCGGAAGGCACGGTGCAGCAGAAAACCGACCGACTCATGTCTGTGGTGTCGGAGGCGGTGCATGCTTTGACGCCGAGGGCCAAACCGTCGCCACACGCAAAGCGATGGTGGACGGCCGACCTAACACAACTCCGCCAGATATACACATATTGGAGAAACCACGCCCGCTCGGAGCGACGGGCAGGGCGAAAGGTGCCGCATCTGGAGAACATGGCCGCGAGTGCAGCGAAACAATACCACGATGCAATACGGAAACAAAAGAAGAAGCACTGGAATGAGTTTCTGGCCGACAACGAGAATATATGGGAAGCCGCGAAATACCTAAAGTCGGGAGATGATGCAGCATTCGGGAAGGTCCCACAGCTCCTCAGGGCGGATGGAACTATGACCGCCGATCACAAAGAGCAAGCGGAGGAACTGCTGACCAAATTCTTCCCGCCACTGCCGGACAGAATTGACGATGAAGGGACCAGGCCGCAGAGAGCGCCCGTGGAGATGTCTGCCATCACTATGGAAGAGGTCGAACGGCAGCTGTTGGCGAAAAGTCTTGGAAAGCACCAGGTGAAGATGGCCTACCAGCGATAGTGTGGAAGATGACGTGGCCCGTGGTCAAACACGGGGTCCTGGAGCTGTTCCAAGCGTCGCTGGATGAAGGCACATTGCCCAAGCAGTGGAGACATGCGAAGATCATACCGCTCAAAAAACCGAACAAAGAGAACTATACGATTGCGAGGCCTGGAGGCCGATTTCACTCCTCGCGACACTGGGCAAGGTGCTGGAATCAGTCATCGCAGAAAGAATCTCACACGCAGTGGAAACTTACGGCCTACTTCCGACCAGCCACTTTGGGGCTCGTAAGCAGCGGTCAGCGGAGCAAGCTCTCTTACTTTTGCAAGAGCAAATCTACGCGGCATGGCGTGGCCGACGGGTCTTGAGCCTGATCAGCTTCGATGTCAAAGGAGCCTACAATGGGGTCTGTAAGGAGCGATTGCTCCAGAGGATGAAAGCGCGAGGTATACCGGAGGTCCTGCTTCGGTGGGTCGAAGAGTTCTGCTCGGAGCCCACGGCGACCATCCAAATCAATGGGCAAGCATCTGAGGCCCAAAGCCTCCCACAGGCTGGACTGCCTCAGGGTTCTCCCCTGTCCCCGATCCTGTTCCTCTTCTTCAACGCAGATCTCGTACAGCGACAGCTCGACGGCCAGGGAGGCGCGATTGCCTTCGTGGATGACTTTACCGCGTGGGTGACCGGACCGACTGCGCAGAGCAACCGGCACGGTATTGAAACAATCGTCAATGAAGCACTCGACTGGGAAAGAAGAAATGGAGCGACTTTTGAAGCAGAGAAAACTGCCATCATACACTTCGCCCCCAAGGCGCACAAGTTGGACTCGGAGCCATTCACTATCAAGGGAGAGACCGTTGAACCAAGAGACCATGTCAAGGTTCTTGGCGTCATAATGGACACGAGACTCAAATACAGGGAACATATCGCGAGGGCAGCGTCCAAGGGACTCGAGGCGGCGATGGAGCTTCGGCGGCTTCGGGGTCTATCCCCCGCAACAGCGCGGCAGCTATTCACATCGACCGTGGCCCCGGTGGTGGACTATGCCTCCAATGTCTGGATGTACGCATGCAAGAATAAGAACATCGGGCCGATCAACAGAGTGCAAAGGGTAGGAGCGCAAGCGATTGTCGGGACATTCCTCACAGTTGCCACCAGCGTAGCGGAAGCGGAGGCTCACATCGCCACGGTGCAACACCGGCTCTGGAGACGAGCTGCGAAGATGTGGACCGATATGCACACCCTACCGGTAACTAATCCCCTCCGCAGGAGTACTGCTCAGATCAAGAAATTTAGAAGATACCACCGTTCGCCTTTGTATCAGGTCGCCGACGCGCTGAAAACCATTGAGATGGAAACCCTGGAAACCATCAATCCATTCACACTGGCACCATGGGAAGAACGGGTGCAGAGCGATAGTTATGATGTACCGGAGACACAGACCGAAGCGGGCGGAGCCATGCGAATCGCGGTTAGCAGTTCGGCGCGGAATGAAATGGTAGGATTTGGCGTGGCGATTGAGAAGCAGCCACCTCGGTATCGAAAACCGAGGCTGAAAACTTTATCCGTCACGCTGGGCGCAAGGACCGAGCAGAACCCATACTCCGGCGAATTGGCAGCAATGGCATACGCACTGGGCACGCTACGGGGACTGAAACGGTGCAGGGTCACGCTGCTCACGAGCAACAAAGCCGCGGCTCTCACGCTGAAGAATCCTCGACAACAATCGGGCCAGGAACACATCTGCCAAACATACAAGCTGATCAAGAGACTACGGAAGCACGAGAACCGCATCAGCATCTGTTGGGTCCCGACCAGTGAAGGTAATCAACTGCTAGGCCTAGCGAAAGAGCAGGCTCGGGCCGCGACGCAAGAGGATGCTACCCCGCAAGCGCAGGTCCCACGGATGAAGTCGACAACACTGAACATCTCACGACCCCAAGCAGTCCCCAAAAATTGCCTGCCAGAGAATGTAGGGAAACACTCCAAACGAGTGGATGCAGCACTCCCAGGAAAACATACCCGGCAGTTGTATGATCGATTATCGTGGAAAGAAGCGAGCGCGCGGGCCCAACTCCGGACTGGCATGGCTAGACTCAACGGATATCTCCATCGAATCAATGTCGCAGAGTCAGATCAATGCGCATGTGGACAAGTCAGAGAGACCGTGGAGCACTTCCTCTTTCGATGTCAGAGGTGGACCACACACCGGACGGAAATGCTGCAATGTACCCATACTCACCGAGGCAACATATCTTTTTTGCTAGGCGGAAAATCGCCTTTGGATGACCAGAACTGGAAGCCGAATTTGGAAGCAGTGCGAGCCACAATACGGTTTGCAATCGCCACGGGCCGACTCGACACCGCTTGACCGCGTCGACCAACACAGATTAACCCTACCCCGCCTCAACCCTAATCGAACCCCCACCAACTACCTTGTGCCAGAGACGGTAGACGCGCTTCAACTGCCGAGGATAGGATGTTGAACACTTGGAGAAGCGCCTTCAAGCAAGTCTACTAACAACACTAACCCACAAGGACCCGCTAAGATATTGACATCTGAGATGACATACACTGAAAGGAATTTTGTATGGGCTCCAAGGAGGCACAGCATTGGCTAAGGCATGTACATTTAGATCAGTGATAGTTGCCCTTTCGGCTCAGCCGCCGGGCGTTAATGAATTGTGTGTGTGTGTGTGTGTGTAGACTCGATGAGATCGAAATAGTCGACTCATGATGCATTGACTTCAGCTACATAGAGAAAAGAAAAGAGACCCAGATGGGAAGGGCACGTGACCAGACATACTGGCCCGCTATATCATCCCCGTCAACCACGCGTTCCTGGACTCAGCTGCCGGCAGGTCACCTGACCTCACCACCAAGACTCCATCTGGTCCACTGCCTGACGCTTACTGGGATGAAAACACATAGACAGCAGTAGTAGTGATGAAGCTTACTGTGCTGTACCCATTAACTTGCACTAAAGCCCGAAGTTCGACCTCTGGAAAGGCCCTGACTCCAACACTTCTCGAGCCGTAAAAATGCCTTACTGCTTTAGTAATTAAGCTGCCGCCTAGCTTGTTCCTGTCACGCCCTGGACATGACCGACCAAGCCTGTCCTTATTTCTCTACGAGAAGCTTCCGACCAGTCACTCGGCCGGGCACCAAAGCCCACACACTCACACCTTCTATTCTATAAGACTGAACGAATAAACTCTACTCTTTGCACAGGGTGTCTTCCACAAAGTTGCTGATGTGGTGGAGCCCTTGATGTTCGCCCTAAGCCCTATTCAGATTTTTCTTGTGTATTTGACCTTTCTTTTTTATTTTCCATTTTCCATTTTTCATATCTCATTTAACTTTCTTTCCTTTTTTTTTCATATCTTGTTTTTTATTCTTCTTTCCATTCCCCATTTTTCACGTCGCTATTACTGGATATTATTTTTCTTAGGGGGAAACAAAGGACTGATGACGTCGATTTCGTGAAATCTAAATCCCTAGATCTCATGTTATGACTCTGAAATGCCGGACATGTCACTCATAACCTGAGTTATTTATAGACTTGTTTGAACGACAAATAGTATGCATAGTAGGTGGAGCGAGGTAGGTCTAGTTCAACTACGATATGTACAGTATAAAGGACTAGAACGCCCACCCACACCACCGGAGCTCACGGTAATTTACGGCACCGTGGCGTCACCATTGAATACCGAGATGTTCTTCAACTGTGGCAAATACTTCCGAGACCAAATTTTTGACGACGCCAGCCAGAACAATATATCAGGCCTGCTTAGCCAGCGAAAGCATGTCTATGAAATCCCTAGAAAGAAAATGGTCATATACGGCCGCAGATCATTTTCTGTTTCCTGGTTTACCAAAGTTGTCAAGAATTATGTCCAAATTCCTTCCCGACTTAGGCAGGACCCCGATCCGCACCAGCTCCATGATGTGTATGTTGTTCTACGACCGGCTAAATTGTCTCGCGCCTTTGCTAGCAATGGGCCTGCATGCGACTTCTCTCTTTACAGCGATGGCCACTTCTACTACGCCGGAAAGGGTGATAAATTGTATATCATAACCATCAGGGACGATGACTACTCGGGCTTAAACCAGCTAAACCTTGTCTCAAATACCTCTCCGGCGCCACCTTCCCTCGCGTATCATCTCGGAAAGACAATTTACTCCCAAGAGCAGATATATGATGTTGCCCTATACGTGGTTGATCAACTGAATCAATATCATTTATCTACGACTGATTACAGACAATTCGTTTTCGAACTTGCAACACGAATCATATGCGCCCGAAGAAACAGCACCGTTTTTATCGGGAATTGGATGCAGATTGTTGCACAAGACCAGTTGCTTAGAGCTACCGGGCCAGATTGTATTGCCCCTAGTGGGTTTTATACTGGTAGTCGCCTTGCCGGCCCTAACGAAAGAATCGATACCTGGTGCGCAAGATATTCCCTCAAACGTAATGTTGAGATCAACGCAGACAGGCTAGCTGCCTGTTGGTATGAGGGCATGCAGGGAATATCGTCATTTAACATTTCTTGGTGCCATTGCTTTCCTAGATTTTGGATCCTGGAAAAGCAAGGCGAGACTCCGAAAAACGTGAGCAACCCTTTGGCAGCTTCCCAGAACGCAAAGTCTATCCGGCTTCCTTCGTCAAAGATCTATCAGAGATTGCGTCTGGCGGTGATCTTCGCTCTTCGTGAAGGTTCGTATGATACAATACCTGCAAGAGGTTAAGTGCTACTCTGACTATTGACTTAGGAGCACAAATCCCGGATTGTCTCGAAACTATACATTGCTTCTCTAGCCTGTACTACATTCGTACGAAGGTGAGCATGACTGAAAAAGGTAATGACAATATTCTCTCAGCTTCTAATTTGATAATTGCTGATTCATGCGATCAGAGTTTTTGAATCAAATGAGTTTCATCTACAGTCTTGATGCCGCTAAGGTTGTATTTCAAAATGGATTTGAGGACGACCTTGGGTCATATTTACGAACACCGAGTGATCTGGAGCCAAGCAAATACGCCAGATCCCCTTCTAAGCTGATCTCGCGCACAGCAGAAGATGGAAAAAGCATTGGTATATGGGACACCCTACGTCCCTACGAGGTTCAAGTAGCGGGGTATCAGAAAGGATATGGGTACCAGATTCTAGTAGATAAGGCACTGGCTTTTCCAAAAGAACCAAAGCCGCATACTCGGTTCGTTTTGTATGCTTAGCTAAGTCAGCTGACCAAGCCCTAGAGGCGTTATAATGTGACTTTTACAGTGTCGCCCGTTGTCGCCTTCTATGTCGGCGTGCATGTCATCTATTTCAAACCATAGTCATGTGCCAATTCTGGTGACGAAATGTACAGAAGCGAACTGGTCCAGAACGGTTTGCACGGCGCTCCATGAATTGCATCAACAGCGTTGCAAACAACACGAAGTTTATCATCCAGTTATATGTAGGCCCTAGATCAAATTAAAAAAAAAGGAATTAGCGATAGTAAGTTGATGTTCTCCGAGTGAGGAAATAAAATGCTAGCGCTAGTGTCCTTCAACAACACTCCCACCATCACTTCTGTCAGATGGCTTCATTGCTTCCTTTAAAAGCCTACGTTCATATAACTCACCTGGGGCCCGTTCATAGACGATCAGACGTAGTGTTCTCGAGAATAGTATGTGCTCAAGCGGTATGAAGATCCTTCGGGCCGAGATGAAATGATCACGCATCATGCTTGTAATTTATCAGTAATGAATTACCCACAAAGCGCACTCGATACGGTAGCGCCCGACATCGCCTTCCATGTCGGAAATATAGCGATATTCTTTCAAACTCTATCACATGGTACATGAAATAAACTGTTTTGTACCTATTCGTGATAATACCGGTTTCTCTATAAGATAGATACAAGAGCGTAAAATTAGAAGCCTGGAACTCCTAGAAGTAGTGATGGTGTAATAACGAAATTGGCCAACTCATTACGAAATCTTGAAATTTCAATTTTTTTCCTCCTTTCAATTACATTTCAAGGGGCTTCAGCTTGATGAGTCATCATTAACGGTGAAAGCTTTCAGCCAATAGGAGCCCGCGATAAAAGGTTCTGCCGTCTCATCTCTGTCTAGAATATTTGCTGTAACTCCTAGCAACAGCTGCACAAATATATATCCATAATATGTCCGGGATGCTCTCACCCCTTCGTAGTTACATGTTCTCGGAAATGGCCGACAACTCTTCTGACAAGGTCTCTTACACCGAGCTAGAACTTCAAAGGTGCTTTGAAATCATACAGGGGAATAAAAAGGTAAGGACTGACTCGCTAAATCCAACCTGTACTCCCCTAGCTATGGCTAGGTGCCCCAAGCAAAATGCCTCGGATGCTTTAAAATTCGCGCCAAAAACACGACTCGTCAGAGTGAGCACGTTAATAAATGCATCAAAGCACAGGCTCTGATGGATCCTGAGACCGCCACGGGGAAGAAACAGAAACTGCTAAGTTTTTCTACTTCTCAGCCATCCCGGGGTATTGATCAGCTAATAGCCCAGGTCTGCTTTACTGGAGCCAGGCCATTTAATCTCTTTGATCAGCAAGAGATGCGTGACCTCATCTATGCGTTAAGTCCAACGTATCAAATCCCTTCTCGACACCGAATCGCCGATGATCTGCTGGATGAAGCATACCATGGACTACAGCAGGAGGTGCTTAAGGAGCTGCGAAGAACCCAGTTCCTGAATGTGACGGTGGATGAGACCACTAACATCCGATCTCAGCGGGTGATTGTGATGACTATAACAACGCCGACGAAGTCGTGGTTTATTCATCTTAATGACATGGAAGACAAGACTCTTGATGCTCCTGCTATTAGTAGTTGGATCTTAAACAGGCTCCAAGGCATCCTATTACAGCTAGACAAAGTCGTTGACTGGAATAGGATCAATTCTATTTCGACAGACACATGTCATGTCATGAAATCAGTCTGGGAGAAACTGGAGGCAACCCCAGAACTCAGACACTGCTTTATGATTCCCTGTGACTCTCACGGCCTACAGCTAATTATGAAGGATATCGTTGATCCTAAGTCCTCAAAGGTTCCACGGGCGAAAGAGGTGTTTAGGTCTGCCCTTGAAGTTGTTGTCTTCTTCCACCACTCACCACTTGAGTACGCAAGGATGCAAGCAAAGCAGATTGAGAAGTGGGGCCATAGAAAGGCGCTTATTGCGTCGGTCATTACACGATGGGGAACGCAATATAATATGCTGTCATCACTTCATGATTGCCAAGAAGCCATCTGCAAGTGGACTCTCGCAACTCCTGCTGCTTCGACTACAAGGGGGAGGGAGATCGTTCGGACTGCTAACTCTCATTCTTTCTGGTGGCAACTAAAGGAGTTGATCAAGATACTTAAGCCTCTGCATATAGCCCAGAAGGAATCGGAAGCTCGGAACTCGTCAATCATGGAGGTAACGCAACGGTGGTTATATCTCCATGAAAGTCTGCGAACGCTGGCTTCCCAAACATCCCTCAAGGATGACTTTTTATCATATCTGGATGGCATAGGCTGGCAAAGTCGTATAACGCGTCAGCTAGAGCCTATTCACTGGGTAGCTTATCATCTTGACCCTGCTAGAGTCCCTGGAAAAGTTGACGAGAGCTCTCGATATCACATTGAAGGTGTTCTACGGCCTCTTCAAAACGAAGATAAAAGCTCGTCTGCTTGGCACGAATTTCTGTCGTTTCGGCAGAAGACAGGTGCATTTTATAATGCTTCTTGCTGGAAGGCTAACTGTCCATCTCTCTTTTGGCTTGAAGCCGTAAGTCGAAGCTTTCAACTAGAGAGAAAAATACTTATCATTAAGATCCATTTATAGGCGGACTTTGCTCCTATTCTTGCTCCTTTTGCCCGTCGTCTTTGCAACACTGTGGCGAATTCCGCAGCAGCGGAGAGAGCCTTTTCACAAATGAACCTTCAGCACACAAAAGTCCGGAATCGGCTCGAGCCTCACCGCGTTGAAAAGTTGCTCTTTGTCCAGATCAATAAACGACAATTCCGGACAGAACAGCCTCCTAAAATCACCCAAGAGTTCCTTCTTGAGGAAGAAGACAACGAAATAGAGAGGGTTTTGCAGCGTAAGCAGGTGCAGGACCATCTATCAGAGGGTTCTGTGACTTCGGATACTTCATCGAATCCCGCATCTAGTCCTACGCCAAGTCCTACGCCTGGTGTAGGGTCGAATGTCGTGTCAACTTTAGACATAAATCCCGACTTGAATCCCGAGCCAGAACCTGAATCAAATTCGGAACAAGATCCAGAACCAACTTCTGCACCGAATTCTGCACCGACTTCTGCGCTAGTTTCCGCGTTGAATTCTGCGTTGAATTCAGCTTCAGGTTCTGCGAATCCTGCCCTGGTTTCTGCGTTGAATTCGAGGCTTAACTCTTTGCTTAAGCCAAATTCGGAGCCTCTCCCGAGTCCTCCAACGACATCTACGCCAAATTCAGCTCATCCCATACGCCCGAGCTCGATCAGAACCAGTACTGATAGAACAGTTGAGGTTGGCAACACTAAAGGGAAGAAGCGTTTATCTGAATGGCCTCAAGGAGTTGCAGAGCATTGCGAGCAGCCAGCTCAACGGCGGGGTGTAAATAAAGGCTGATGTCGATTTCACGCCCTCCGCATTTAGGGTTCTGATTGGTAGCAAATAAAATAAACCCTACCGTTTACGGAATAGCTCGATTTCAAGATTTCAAGGCCCATTTCAAATTTCATTTCAAGAGGCCAAATTACAGAAATTTCGAAATATTGAAATTACATTTTGCCTTCCCTAACTAGTAGGCTCCATGCAAACCAAGCAAACTAGCGACCGTTAGCAATCTGTCAACTTCCCTCCTACATCCCCCAGTTGCTTCACTGCAGAGGGTTTGACGCTGCCTTTAGTGTCCATCTCTGGTCAAGTTGATAGGCAAGGCTTGACAGTAAGATTTGTTTCGAGATTACCATTGCTTATTGCCATGTGGCGACTTCGGATCTTCATTGGGCATCAGCGATTCCTGGCTAACCCCTTACGGAGTACAGCTCTAGGCTACCCCTGGACATATTCGCGATGACCCATAGCTCTTTTGGTGAAGATGCAGATCAACCTCGGATAATCGACCCATGGGAAGAAAATTGGCAGTATGCCCCCACTCCTGGTTACTTCGGTAGAACACCCGAAACCTCGTACTCCCCCAGCCCTACCCCGTATCGTGCCACGGATCAGCCACAGTCGGATCAACTCAATTTTCTACCATTTGCCGAATGGGAAGAAGGTGGCGAATATGATGAAGAGCATCCGAGATACGTCTGTTACACAATCGAATGGAAACTTATACTCAACCGCAAGGCGGTAGGTAGAGTGACCGAAGAAGATTTGGTTGTAGCTCCTAGCGAGTATTGGAAGGAGACTCTGAAAGCAGGAGTTGAAGATATGCTGCAAATGAAAAAGAAACGTCACCAGAGAGTTCGATCTGAGGGCACGGCCGTTACGATGAAATCGAACGACCAGTCCCAGAGGAATATCGAAAAATTCTACAATTCCACTAACATCGACTGGAAACCAGTGGAGAAGCAGCTGCGTAAATGGAGCAATTTGCTTCGTATTGGAAAGAAGCTCACCATAGTCATTGCCTTTAATTATAGGAGTGAAGATGAAGATTATTCTGCGACAGCGTCAAGGAGAGTCGACAAAAGAGGCCGTGTGTCTGCAACAAGCAGAATGTTGACTGAGCGAGAGGCTCATATTGCTGATGAGGAAGAGAGAACTGGGCGAACCGCAACGTGGAGTGCTGCCCGCTTAAGTCTGATTGGTGCTGGGAGGACCCAACGGACAAAAAACATTACAAACTGAGAGCCCCACACCTAGAAAGACTTATTGAGCATGTTGATGGTGGTGGGAGCCTTGATTGTCACGATGATCTCCCTAGCGATATCCGTCGAGACCTGGTTCTGGAAAGTCAGTTAGGAAGAAAGTCGAAAAAGGCTGATATGGCATCGACTGGGCCACCGTATCCTCCAACCATTATCAATGTTCTGCCAGCACAAACCGGGAGTGCGTCCACGGTTACTTCGTCCCTGCACAGACATACACCTGACGAGCCTCTCGTAATTCCTGGGCCTCGGGAAGCGGCAGTAAGGGAATACTGCAAGTGGTTGGAATCACGCGCCACCGACGAGGAATACAAAGCAGATTTCCGGAAGGTTTGCCAGGTGACGTTGGAAAATCACCTCGACCTTGAACTGATCCTTGAAGACCCAGACGCTGGCTTCTTTGTTCAACGAGGAATTCAAATTGGAACAGCCCGTCGCTTCGTACGTGATATAAATGAATGGGCCAGAGTGATGAAATTAAACATGGGAATTGACCAAGGTGCTGGAGATATTCTTGATGGTACCGAACAACTTTGACAGCTATGTTTCTTACGCCAAGGTCTGATTAATTGCACCCTGCGTTAGAAGGCAGGAGTTTTGTGCATCGAGGCGTTTTATTCATTTTGGATTGAGGCCATAGTATTTTGAATTGCGACTATTGGCTTATAAGATGATTAAATGTGTCCTTGTTACCGAAGTTATAGCATGCGTTGTCTGATATACAGGAAAGGAAGTGCATTGAAATTACATAGCGACTATCGCGTCTTGGTAGACTTAATTTGTTTTTTAAGAGTACGTGTGAGGGATACGTCTAAACTCACTCCTAAATTCATGAATGCTTATAGTTTGGGCCTGTGGATGACGACAGACAATAAAGGAGCTTTAATATCAAGTGGCGATGTAGAAATGTAGTCAAAATTTGACGTCAAGCGCGATCATTGGGCTTGGAGCTACGTTTGCCCTACGAACGATCAGCGCCAAAGTCAAGATGAGATACTGTAGCAGATAGCGGGCTAGATTGCAAGATATACCTTTGCAACAGGAGGCAGCGCATCGGTAGAGGTGAACCTATAGTATACGACAGCCTCCCTGACCACTCTGATAACTGCCCCCGACAGTCACGCCTCCATCTCGTCTCACTCCGACATATGCACAGGATTCGCTTCCCCCAGCACCAGGGCGGCAAATACCTATCTCCTGTGCTCCGCCCATATTTCTCCCCTGGAACCTATCGGCAGTCTTCGAAATATCTGTCGATGAAGTGTCGGGCATTGTATCAGCGTGGCCTGTTTGCAAAGGTGCTATATCAGTACCGCTTCCTTGGTTTGGGACAGTCCAGCAAACTATCTCAGTACTTACAGCGGGAAAAAGAATGGTCGAAAATGGATCTACCGCGAAGAATTTGTGGCGGATGTTATCGCAGTCACTAGAACTGGCGGAATCAGGTAGCCTTTTAAACCCATTTTTTTGATCAATAGTCCCTTCGATATCCCTGTACATGCCACGTCATCTAGCTTTATCAACCTATTAGCAATTCACACATTTTTTTCTTCCTTACCACATATGATATCTGTAAATGACTATATTAACTTAGTGGTCGCAGGGGTACAGACTGACCAACATGACGCACGATGCGTTGGCCGGAATCTGCAAGAGCCTTCTTCGGGCAATGTTCAGGCTGAAGATGCGGAGGGCTGAGACTGCCAAAACCTCCATGGAACTCACACTTTTGATAATTCACTGAAAGAATTATCAAATTTTCAAAAATTAGGTAACGTGGGTCTACTACATGGTTTATCGCCTTGCCAGATATGTGCGGATTAGAGTGGTGGCCTGCGGCTATACTATTACCGAACACTCTGAATAATGGTCAAAGGAGTACCATCTAAATTGGCCTAACTCAGAGACCAGTAATTGTCTTCGGCTGCTAGCATTCCAAGATACCATAGTCCTAGTAATACCGAAAATTGGCCGACTCCTCCACTTCTCCAGAGTATTGGTGTAGCCACAGCTAAACGACCATTCCTATCGAGACGTTTGATAGCGACAAGCTCAACATCTGAGAGGATAAACCCGTGCCGGGCACTGTGCTGGTCCATATAAAAGTTCACTTGGGCCAACACCTGCTTGTACTCTCGACGGTCTGCCAGATTTTGCGAAAACTGCATTGAAGATCTCCACTTCCAAGAGACCTTCAAGTCCCCGGGTGCTCTATTAACACCTGTGGAGAGACTGGCTCCAACTACGATAAACGCAGTATCTGGTCTGAACTGATCAATTACCCTAGCCGACCCCCTCCATCTATTGTTATTTCAGATAGCCGCAGAATTCCGAGCTGCGGAGAAAGTTGTTCGAAACCAGCTCGGAGGGCGCGTCGAACTCGAGTCATAACTAGATCAGCGAAACGAAGATGAAAAGTTGGCTCGTCTTTAAGTGGCGCAGGCGGAGACATGAAAGGATCAGGCCGAATTTGTTTCATATTTAGTACTCGCCCGTAGCGTTGAATGACATTGGAATAACTGAACTCCGACCATGGGACGACTTGTGTTATATCGTCCGCATCGTATTGAGGGTTTGTCGTGTTTGGCCCCGGAGTAGTCCCCTGGGTGGGTATCACTGGGAGGGCAACTGAGAGGTATTGTAGAAGTGTTTGTGCTTGATTTGCCATCCCTAGTCGTGGGTTTACCCCCTGTAGTAAGGTTGGGACAGGAACTATGGTTGCGGCTGGACAAGGCGGGGTCAATTAGATACCCATATCACATGACTTACGCCATAACGTAATTCACAAGCGAGCCGCCACCCCAAGCGAGCCGCCACCCTACCTATATCTATTTATTTTAAATGCATTTTTCTCAACCAAAACGCCATTAAATTCAATAAGCTAAAAACTAGTTCTATTAGGACATGTAGTCAATTTATGACCCTGAATTCCACATATACTGCACTTTGGTAAGGCTCTCTTACGTGGCTGTGAAGGTGCCGGAGCCGATTCTGCCTCACGGGGGTTTGTGCTAAAACCGCTTGCTCTGGCTGCGCTACTAAGGTAGAGGCCTCTAAAACTGAGAGGCCTTCTTCGGAAGCTATTTGCTTTTTAGACCGAGTCCTTTTTCGCTTCTTCGTCTCGTTTGCAGCGCGTAATTCGCCTACTTCTTTCTCGAGAATAGCTGCCGATTGCATTGTGATTTGACAGGCCTTTAAAACCTGATTTATCGCGGAGTTAAGCGGGCTCGGTGGGCTTTTTGAACGCGCTTTTAGCAAAGCTTTAATTGAGGAAGCTTGCTTTTGTAATTGTACGTAGTTTGAAGGCGTTTTTGGATCCCACTCGCTTCCCTGGCTCCGGGGGGTGTCGGGGTTCGAAGGCGAATATTAAGCTTCGAGATCACTCGATCAGGACTATAAGGCACTAAACCGGCGGCGGTAAAGCTATTCTTAATAGTCTCCGATTTAAACGCCTCAATTCGCGCGGACGGGTAGGCTTCGAGGAAGTCTAGCTTATCAATGTGGTTGATTCTAGCACGCGTTTTCGATTCGATAAGCCGAGCGTAACCACGCTTTAACACCGCAAAACAGCCGATATCAAGAGGCTGTAAAAGGTGAGACGAGTGCGGAGGCATACAAATTGCGATAATATTGTTTTTCTCGCAAATTTCGTCGAATTTCGGGGTTAAATGACTTCCGTGGCCGTCGAGTATCAAAAGTCTATACTTCCCCTTCGTACGCGAAGAAGTAGACGGAATAAAGAGCTTTTGAAGCCACCGAAGTCCAATTTCGTCGGAGGTCCATCCGTTAGGACTAACCTCAAGTCTCCAATCGTCTGGAAGGCCGTCGAACCAAGATTCGATAAAGACTTTGCCCTTAAAAATGATACAAGGAGGAAGCGCCCACCCCGACGCATTTATACATTCAATTGTAGTCACCCACGCGCGGTTTCCGGGCTGTAAAACCGATCGCCGACCGTAGTATTCCCTTCTCGTAATAACCTTCGCGGTTGCGATTAAGCCCATAGCAAAACCGGTCTCGTCAAAGTTATAGATATCGTCGGGGTCAATACCATATTGAAGTATAGTCTTTTGGACAAGCGAAAACCAATCTCCAATTATCTTTGGATCTTCACACTTCGCACGCTCGAAATTGTATCGTTTTGAGAACCGAGATGATAGGATTGGGTGCCTTTTTACGAAGTTTGTAACCCAATTATCGCCGACCGAAAGAGGGGAGGTAGATCCACGCGCCGCGAGTAGTAGATCTGCTATTTCTCGTACGGTAGAAGGCCGAGGGGCTGCTCCACGTAAATCTATTGAGATAATCCATTTTTGAAGTGTTTCCTCCTCAATTTCGGTCAATTTATGTGAATTTGCGCGTACAGTAGCTCGTTCTGTACAGCCAGAGAGGCGGTCGCGTAGAGTTGAACGCGGTACTTCAAAAGTCCGAGCAGCGTGAGCAACAGAGCTTATTTCTTTGTTCTTAATAGCCTGGATAGCTAATAAGATCCTACCCTCTTGCTCTGTACGATTTCGGGGCGATTGGGTACGAATTGGTGGCATGGTAGGTGGTTGAATAAATTAAATGCTAATTTTCGACGCGTTTTTAGGTAGGGTGGCGGCTCGCTTGGGGTGGCGGCTCGCTTGTGAATTACGTTAATTACATAATTAGATTACATAATTCTAGAAGGCAATCCTTTCCGCCTCGCTGCTTCGTTGATTTCCAGCATCCCCTCGGTCGCGTTACGCGCAATGTAGCTCAAAGAGCGACCATGCCTTCGCAAATTGCTTGCTCTTTAGAGCTAAATCTCTCTGATATCGACATTAAACGTGAGCTCAGTCGCTCAAAAGCTTCAACAATCTATGAAATCCGGCTATTTGGGAAGCCATGTGTCATGAAGCTTGTAAGTTCAATTATTGCGTCCAAGGATGACGCTGACCTGCCAGTTCCACGATAACGGCGACCCTGGATACACGAAAAAAGGCCGAGATCTAAATCGTTTTCGCTGCGAATTGAACGCCTATCACAATCTCCGTGAATTCGGCGTGTGCGACCGAGGCTTTGTTCCCGCTTTTACGGTCACATCGATCGAGTTGATCCGTCAGCTTTCCACCCCCCGCTTAAACATTTCGCCGACGATAAACATCAACCCAGCGCGATCCTGCTCGAATATTTGCCTTGTGCTGAAAGACTAAATTGCGAAAATTATTCCGAAGATCTTTTTCGCTATGCTGTTGAGGGTATAAAACAGATCCATAACGCCTTTGTCCACCATCATGATATCTACCCGAAGAATATGCTTGTTGTATCTGGCACAAGGATTGTTTGGGTTGATTTTGATGTTGCGACAACATTCAGCAGCATGGGCCCTTGCGAGAAGGCATATTGCGATTATGAAACCGAACTCGTCGAGAGTTTTGGAAAGCTTCTGGTTTGTATAGCTTCCTTTACTTAAACATCATAACAGTAACTAACAAAAATAACCATCAGAACGACGACAAGAGACAGGGTCTTCCACCCAATACAAAGTATTACTAAATGAAAAGCCACAAACACGAACAAACCGAACTGGCACAATGTTGAAACGGGAAGCGGGTATTGCACAGACGCGACGCTGATAAGTACGACAGCCAATCATATCGTCTCTATTGTTATACCTGAATGTCGGAAATGGCCTTCGGCACTGTCCTGTCTTGCGCCAACCTCATATGCGCACCGTCGAAGGAAGGCATGAAACCCTTGGCCAGGGTTCTCTTCGTATTCTAACCAAGATTTCTTGATATAGGCTTTTAGCTCGGCAAAGAATTCCTCGATGGGGTTGAAATCCGGCGAATACGGCGGCAGGTACAGTAATTTGACCCCCGCCTCAGCACATAAGGTCTTAATCCGGTCGGAATGATGGAACGATGCGTTATCCATAACAAGCACGGATTTTGGCTCCGGCCACCTCCCACAGTGCTGGAGAAGCTGCTCGATAAACGATGCGAAGAACGTGGCATCCGTTGAACCTTTGAAAATACGAGACAGAATGATACCGTCTTGAGCATATGCAGGCAGTATCTGGAAGCGTTGGCCGCGATGAAATTTCGACACTTGGACCGGTGTCACGCCGAGTGGTGACCAGCCAGTTCGCCTATGTCCAATCCTTTTATCACATCCGGATTCATCCACAAACACAAGATGATATGACCGAAACTTAGATAGCTTATGCTGGTAGAAATCTCGTAGTTGAGGGTTCTGTTCTTTGGCTTTCTGTTGTGCTTTCTTTTTGTCCAGCCAGCCTGCGAAAGAGCACGTTTGATTGTCGATGACGATGGTAATATGTTGAACTCATCCCATAGGAAGATAGCCATCTCTTCGACATATAGGCCAGGCTTTTCGGCGAGGTGGTCACAGAGGGCGTCAAGCATGATAGGGGCGATACTTGGTTGTCGACCGACCGAGACTGGGGGAGATCTGGCACTACCGAATAACCGCAAGTTCTTGCGTATGTTAGTGATAGAGCGCTCACTACACTGCGCTACCTCTGCCATTTGCGATGTAGTGAGTCTGTTCTTGCTGTATATCATATGAATAATCATCTTACGCTGCCAGGAATCGATGTTTCTAGCCATGTTGTAAGTGGTTTGGGTGACTGCAGTTGCTAGGTTAGGAAGAGTGTGAACAAATGACATGGTGGGGTGGTTATTTTCGGATATAGAACAGTGGCTATTTTTGGACATGTAGAAGTACATGACTATACAGTTTCATACTTTCATCCTTGTGGCCATGTAAATCTGGAACAAATCTTTAAATACGGGCTTAGCCATATAAGGATTAGCGTATCATGTGATTAGGGTTTGAAACAGTACCTCTCTGTTTCCCTATATGGAAGGCAATAACGGTCGGCACTGTACATATCAGGATCGACTGTAGGACCAGAGTCGCTACTGTAGCAATTGGACTGTACAGTACGGAGGATTCGACCATGGGGATGACCACGAGAAGCCAGCGGGTGGGGCTGAACCCCCAGCTTCCAAACCCCCCAACCCGTCGCACATCTCCCACCCCCGAAGCCGCAAACCCCACAATCTCACCCGAATACCCCAACGTTGAGGACTTTTCTCTCGCCGAGGATGATTCTCATGATGAGGACGATTCTCACGTCGAGGATGATTCTCACGATGAGGAGGATTACTTTCTCGTCTCAATCACCTACGATTACTCCACCATCACAGCCCGAGCTCGTTCGTTCAAAGGAATAGTGCTTGCTGGGGCCACTCCGCTCCAACTGGCCCAGAATGGCTTCTATTACCGACCTTCAGGAGTCAGCAATGTGGCATGCTGTTTTGCCTGCCAATCGACCAAGCACTTATCCACCTTCCAATGCACCCCGTTCGAGGAAGTGCAACAGCTACACGAGGAAGACTGCATATGGCAGATAATCTCGTGCGATTTGAAACACCACCTCGGAACTCACAACAAACCCCCCTCCTCAACCACCGCATTCTCCTCCCCTAAACGGTCAACTCCTACCGCCGATTCCAGTACACAAACTACAGACGACTCCAGTACAAAAAACACCAACCTAGACTGCCGTTCCAATCCGCTACCCGCCATAATAGACCCAGAGCCTCAACAACCTCCAACAGCCCAATCTCCCCAGCCTCATCAAACGATACCGCCCATCACTTCCTCGTCCCAAAACCAACAAACAACCTATGCTTCCGTCCTCCAGCGACCTGTCACATCCATACCGCAACCGACTCCTCCAGTGCAAGAACCTTTTCTTCCCGCCAACCCCATACTCACAATTGAAGATCTTCACCTCCGTTTTCACAATAAACCGTCACCGTTCCAGCTCGAGAATAAGACAAGCCAACGCTCAATCAAACGAACTCGGAAAAAACCCGCATCTGTCTCACAATCACTGTCCAGATTCTTAGCCTCTGCTTTACCCGCGTTCTCGCGGTTCCTAACAGAGATGCAGCGGAAATCGGACGCTTGCGGTCCGTCTCACTCGTATATTTCCCGCAGCCGCGCCATGAGGGCAGCCTAATACCGCAAACGGCAGAAAGGCCACGACAGGCCTTACCAGGTGAGGCTCAAAGTTCACCGTTCAGGAAGTTTTGGAACAATCTCATTGGAACACACAATCATGTATTTACACAATAGTGGTAGCCTGTATATCGCTTAATTAGTTGGATTATAAACCATATCCCACTAGTCTGGGTACGGATTCGTATTTTAGTCTAGCTGGGAAACCAACTGGTTATGAGCCCGGATTGCACGACTTTTGAGCGCGCCGGTTCGATCCTCGCAGTTTGCGTTCTTGAGCACCCAGAGCCACCAGAAGACGGCCTATGATTGGTCGCACAGCCAGGCAGCAGAGCTTCATACGCACCCCCAGCCAAGCGTCTATGGTTTACGGGGGAGAGTTGGATTATAAACCATATCCCACTAGTCTGGGTACGGATTCGTATTTTAGTCTAGCTGGGAAATCAACTTAATTGCGAGAGGTCAGGGTAAATGATATCATCCATCCATCCATCCACTGTACATATCACATATCGAAACTGGACTACTTGTACCTTGCCCCATCCTTTATCCTTACTAATCTTCGTCCAACTAGTCCGTAATTCAGGCTATGTTTGAAATGATCGGCCTTCCTAGTCAGGGGCTTTTTCCGTGTTTCTGGAATTAAAATTTATTTTCCTGATTTATTTTCTTGGCTTATCTTCTTGGTTTATTTTCTTAGTTCACGTGTCGGCCTATGTTTCCTCAAAACTGCATTACTTGACATGATATGTACTGTAGTGTGTCCTAGATAAACGCTTGCTTCAAGACCGTTTTCATTTTGGGATAAAACTCAACACCGAAGCGTGATTACTGATGACTGAGACATTTGCGTCGATTTAGCTGCTTAAAATCCTGCCGATCGTTATAGTAATACTTGGGCAACTAATATGTTTGAAGGAAGAGCCAAATCTTTATTATTGCCTTTGAATTTGCGAAAAGAGGATAGAATTTGAGGTTATCTCTCATGGGCTCCAGGACCCGAACCGATATTATGAAACCTAAGAAGCCCCAAGCCTGTTTGCATTGAACTATCTCTTATCATCACTTGCAACATTATTTTCTTTGGGTCCGAGTGTTAATCAATGTGATATCCACAATACCGATTAGTGACCCTTCCGAGAGGATTTGCATTCGCTCATTTTCTGTGTACCTTCCTGACCACAAGCGAGTTAGTCCAGCTTGTCAGACCCTTCCAATATATTGAGTTTCTTTTGCTCTTTTTCTTTTTGGTAGTTATCGCAACCTTGGTCTTGTGTCTGTAGGATTTAATGACCTGTGCCTCTTCAATAGAGACGCTGAGTATATCTGTGGTATCAGAAAGGACATTGTGTGAGAAACACGCATCTTCCTTCAACCGAACAGCTGCGACCCGCCATTAGGCCAATAAAATAAGGACAATACATCGGACTTGAGTAGTTTTCAGCCCCGGGAGTTGGCATTCGACAACTGCGTGAAGAATACTCCCCATCAGGAATAATTTAATGTCCTGCTCTTGATCCCATAGATGGCTGCTGCTTGATTCTTCGTTGTTGATGTGAAACAATCTTCTCAGAAGGTTATTTAAGTCTGAGACAGTTTGAACGAAATCTTGTGCAACTTCAGTCACTACCGGAAAGATATATGCCGAGGGAAGCTTCCGTTATGTACGCTCTCCGTAGTTTTCAATACAGTATGTCTAAGATTTTATCAATGCCCTTTACAACATTTTGTCAATGTATTTTTTATAAAAGGTGTCAGATGGAAGATAATTACCTTTGTTGTTTTGTCCCCTCATTGTTCCTTGGTCTATGAAGATCTGTCAATATTGTATAGGTCAAACTTTCGTGGATATTGAGTTTCGGTATGGTATTCCACCTGTGTATGCAGATTCAAATCAAGATTTTTAGACATTAGGTCATAGGTCGTGGGTTCTGATCGTCGATTTAATTCTATAGCATTAGAAATCTCAGCGAGAGTTCTTAGACAAAATTAATCACAAGTACAAATTTAAAAAAAAGAATTATTACTGTGGAACTACAACGTGAACAGCTAGTCTAGAAAGGGGCACCGCCGAAGATTGCCCAAAAAGAAAAAAAAAAGAAATTCAAATCAAATCAAAAAAGTCCTTGGCCCCCTTCCGCTTACCCTACACGATCGAAAGCATCACGTCGTGGATACTTCGAGAGTCAGTTCTTGTGTCAATTGAACTACACTATCTCTTTCATTCAATATCCTCTCGTATTCTTCAATATTCGGGTATATTTTACAAGTCAGGTACGACGTGATATTACACTCAATGTACTGTAACAGTATAGGAACATTACTGCATTTTCGGAGAATACCTTGATCCGCCAGATCCAACTATGGCGGCAAGCTCCCCGGAACTATCATTCTCCGAGCTAAAAATAATTGTTTGCTGGTTTCCCCGTTCAGGGCCATTTCCCATTGACACTTAGACACCAAATCCATCCATGCGTGTTACAGACCCAGCAACCTTGGCTCTGTTTAGACTAATTGACTCCGGGGGATCTGCACTGCGTTTAGTGGCACTGAGAGTTGTACCCCGTCTATCACGTGACTGTACGTGGCTTTACACGTGAGGTAAAAAGTACTATGCAGATAGGCGTAGTCGTGTAAGGGTATTTAACACGACTCAACCAGAACAAAACCATTCTCGCCGCCAAGTCCTCTGCTTGGACAAAACTTGAATTACCCTGGTAGATAGACATCAGGACATCTGCTAGAGTTCTAGTCCCCAGCACCGCGTAAAGGTGTCTGCCCGTCGCTGGGGACCCTGTCCTGTAAGAAACTTAGTCCAGTTCTAGTGGTAATGGCACGTGATGATCGGTCTCAGAGTCCCACCCACCTTCAATTTTCAGCTGAATGAATTCCACCTTCTCCCAACAAACACCCCCCACCTTAGAGCCCATGACCAACATACTCAACAAACAACAACCACTACTGGCACTAAGCAACTAGCGGGCGGGAAATACGTTTGTCCTCCAGCCATATCCTACTTTACACTGAAACGGCTTTTCTGACAAATCTCCTTATTTTTTTTCGATTTATTAAACGAGCGATATAATATGAATTTCATGGATTTGCCCCTTGAATTATTACTAGCATTGCTGGAGCTCTTAGCATAGAAGGATGTCAACTCCTTATGCCAAGCAAACCGGCTACTTTATAATGCTCTCAATCAGGACTTATATCGGAATAATGCTCGCTGTTTCGGATCCTCAGCATTGATATGGGCTGCTCGGAATGGAAATTCGGCTACAGTCGAAAGGTTTTTCAAGACAGTGGGAAGAAAGGAACCGAACGATTTTGACGATGCATTCGACGATGCATTCTTCCAGGCCTTACAACATGGACATGAAGGCGTGGTTGAGATTCTACTCGAAAATAGCGACATCGATGTGAATGCGAGATTAGATACAGGTGAAACGCCAATATTTACCGCCGCAGCGTTTGGGCATACGGCACTAGTGAAGATGCTCCTCAACATTGAAAAGGTGGACATCGAGGCGAACCACTTTCTACATGGAACACCGCTGTGTGTGGCTGGGTACGTTGAAGTAGTGAAGCTTCTGCTCGCCACTGGGCGTGTCAATACAGAGGCAACGAACATTTCTGGGGAGACGCCGCTTTACTCTGCCGCAGAAAATGGTAAAGAAGAGATGGTAGAATTATTCCTTGAGAGGGGCTTGGATTTGGGAGCAGAATATTGCGAAGGCGAGACACTTGGCCAGGCTCTGGTAGACATTGCAAGAAAGAGAGGGCATGAAGGGGTCATGAAGCTCGTACAGGGCGCGTGAATTACTGTAAGCAAACAAAGCTTAATTAGCGGGTATTCCTACGCTACCTCTTAGAAAAGCCGTTTTTGCAACGCGGAATACAAAATCTTTGAGTGCTTTCCCTCCGGGTCCGTAAGATAACGCTGTTCCACGGCTTTCTCTTCCCTCGATGCCAGGTGTTGCTGGGACGTTAGTGAATCCCGATTTGGCAGACCAAGTAATAGAGTCAGAAGAGCCGATAATTCTAGACAGAACTAATATTGCTAGGTCTGTAACAAGCATGGATGAATTTGATGTCACAGTGTGAAACACTGCGAGCATAGTTATTTTTGGCTCGGAATGTGATATTTTCCGGGCCGAGAACTTGTCGCCATATCTGAATTTGACGGATCAAGGTAACATGTTTGTAGTAGAGAACAGATTGCAAAGCGAACATTTCATGAGTTTGACTGACTAACTACACAAGATGGTGAAGATTTTTCGGTCGTGATGGGAAGTACCTCTGAAAGAATTCGCGCGGTTACTCCGCTCGTGACGGTATACATACGTTATACGTTACAGTTTGAATTCACTGCCGACATGACAGAACGCAAGACTCAAAAGCCATGTGGAACAGCTGCCTAGTTTCGGGTCAAAATTGCCATAGCCTATTAGATATATCCAATAATAAGTGGTTATTTCAAGCCTGTGGTTTTTTTGCACCGAGGATAGGAAGTTCAGTGCTTAGCTTGATCGCTGGCCTGGTGCTGGCTTGGATGGCTATTTGCAACGTCTTTAATCCATTCTAGAAACCCAGAACCGCTCACTATGCGACAGGCTTAATTACTGGGCAAGTCCGATCCCTGTAGACTTCTATTTTCTTTCTCGGCCTGACTGGACTCCTTTCTTCCTTCTAAAACCAGAGATCTTTGCACCACCCTTATAACTCTCCGATCGATCTCAGGCTGTACGTTGACAATAAGCTTCTCTGTCGACTTTGACCACATACCTGTACATCATATAAACCTCAATCCATACATCTCAGTTCAGTGGTTATGCATCTTTTAAGGCTTCCCCCGGAGCTAGTCTTGATGGTCGCCGAAGCACTGGGCACGTTGAATCACATCAATTCTCTGTGTTGCACTAACAAAAAACTCTATACAATACTTGTTCCGTTCATCTATAGAACCGACCTGTCTGCGTTGCGCTGGGCCTGTAGAACGGGTATCAAGAATACAGCTCTACTGGCAATAGAGGCAGGGGCTGATGTGGAATTGAAGGACCCCCGTAGTCGAGACCCATTGTCCTGGGCCGCGGCAAATGGCCATCAGGCAATCGTGGAATTGTTACTTGATAGGGGAGCCAAGGTGGACTCACTAGACTGTAGAAGGCGAACGCCCTTATATTGGGCCGCAGCAAACGGCCATACGGCAATAGTACTGTTTTTACTTCAGATGGAGGCGAAAGCCGACTCGAGGGACTCCAGTGGTCGAACACCGTTGTCTTGGGCCGCAGCAAACGGTCATCAAGAAGCCGCGGAGCTATTACTGGAGCGAGGAGCGAAAGCCGACTTGGCGGACTCTAGAGGCCGAACAGCATTATACTGGGCCGCGGCAAAAGGCCATCAGGCAGTCGTGGAGTTGTTACTTACCGAGGGAGTCGAGGTGGACTTAAGAGACTCGAGAGGTCGAACACCGTTATATTGGGCCGCAGCAAACGGCCGTGAGGCAGTGGTGAAGCTCCTCCTGGACAAGGGAGTCGATGTGGACTTGTCGGACGACAGAAATAGAACCGCATTTTATGGGGCCGCGTCAAACGGTTATGAGAAAATCGTGCCTCTGTTACTTGAGAGGACCGCGAAAGCGGACTTGAAGGACTCCAGTGGCCGAACGCCGTTGTCTCGGGCCGCGGCAAATGGCCACAAAGAAGTCGTGGAGCTGTTACTTAACAGGGGAGTAGAGATGGACTCCATGGACTCTCATGGCCGCACTCCACTGTTTTTCGCCTCTATACGTGGCCACAAGGCAGTGGTGCATCTATTACTCGAGAACAGCGCGAAAGCGGACTCAATGGACTATGATGGTCGAACGCCGCTATCTTGGGCCGCAGCAAACGGTCACACAGAAGTCGCGGAGCTGTTACTCAACAAGACGGAGAAAGTGGACTCTATGGACTTCGATATTCAAACCTCGATGTATTGGGCTATAGCGACTGATAACATGGTAGTAGTCAAGCTCTTACTGGAGAAGGGGTTCGAGGCAGATGCAAAGGATTCCAATGGCCACTCGCCATTATTTTGGTCCGCAGAGTTCGGTCATCCGGAAATTATGGAGTTACTCCTTGGGAAGGGAGTAGAGGCCGACGCGACGGACGCGGACGGTCGAACGCCGTTGTCTTCGGCTGCTGCGAACGGTCGCAAAGTAGCGTGACGATTCCCATGGCGGACACATCAGTAACAGTTTTTGACATCATTTCCAGCTAACACAAAAGCAGAGCTTTCAACTCCCCCAATCCGCCGAGCTTCCATCACCACAAGACCATAGTAAAAGCGATAAATTACAACTTTATATCTCAATGACTGCAGCGACTTATAATCCCCTTCTAGGTGTATGTTCTTCATAGCGAGTCTAGCCTTTCTTGAAAGTCTCGAAAGATTTTAGATTGGAGTGAATAGATTATACATCCTTGAAGCTAAGTTACGGTGTATTTTTTTTGGTAAATATGGTTAAATCAGAACCAAATCGACCTAGACCCTTAAAATGGGCTTCTTAAACCTAGTAACGTTAGCAGTGGGTCGCCCACGCACGACAGACTTATGCCTGCTTCTGCGCTGTCAGGCGAGGCAGTTTGCTCTAAAATTAGGTATGTTAGATATAGTACGAGACAATTACACATTATTTGTCACGGGTTGTTGCGTGTAGTTCCGCTATACATAGGTCACGAGTTCTGATCCTCGACTCAATACTAGGGCATTGGAAGTCTCCGTGAGAAGACTTAAACAAAAGTACAAATAAAAAATTAAAATTAAAATGAATTTTTACTGTGGAACTACAACGTGAACAGCTAGTCTAAAAAGGGACACGGCCGAAAATTGCCAAAAATCAAATCAAAGCAAAGTCCTTGACCCCTTTCGCTTATGTAAGTTGATAGAGGTCGCAATTACCTTACGAATACTGCCTGAAACCGGTAACGTATTTCACATGCGAGTGGCGCAGTCCGAAACACGTAGTAAATGCGATAAATTACAACTTATATTTCCACAACCACATTATTATTTGATTTCATTGTCAGTGGATAGCTATCGATAAGACTTTTTAACAGTATATATCAATTTCAAGAAAATCGAAGAGCTACATTATTATGGTATTGAAAATTACGTTATTCGAAGCAAGAAATATATATATCGCAATCATAAAGTCATAAATATTTTCTAAACCCCCCTAGAGAAGCTAGATATCACCTAAAAAACATTCAGCCATTAGGAAGACTCCATATAGACTACCGTTGTTGAGATATCAAGTTGTAATTTGTCGCATTTACTACGTGTTTCGGACTGCGCCGCTCGCTTGTGTGCGCCGCTAAAACCGGCAGAAAGTTACGTAATTAGGTGTGGGTCTAAAAGGGGGTGTTAAAATATATGAGCAGTCACTGTACATCTCCCGGATACAGTACAAATCGTGACATATCGTCCCCACCGCGACCGCCCTGCGAAGAACGCCAGGCGAGATCGACTCTTGCTTGACCGACCCGGGACCCTCGCCAGGCGGTCGCAAGCCTTTGTCGACAGATTTATATAGTGAATGGTCCCTCAAACAGACCTTTAGCGATGTGGTCAAGAAACTATTACCTTGCTTTTTTACCCCTGTTAGGTGGGTTGATGTGTTGATTCTATGGGCTTTACATAGTGTAAACGCATGGGCTCCACCGGGTTTATTAGATGTATTCGTCATCTTGCTCATGTCAGGCTGGATTTCAATGAAATTGCGCCCTCTCTAAGTCGTTTGTGCACGTTCCGTGTCAGTGAGCTCGTGATAACCACGATTTCATTTTAAGGCCGAAAATAGAATGGACATAAATTCCTTTTATCACGCGGCTTAGGGCCAAATTCGATGTTCTTGTCAACAGCAGTGATAAAAGAACAGGGATTGGATATCAGCGTATTGGCTATTAGATCTAGATAGTCTTGACTAGGGTGAGGCCTGATTTTCGGTGTGGGAAAATGAGCTAAAATTCAACGATATGAGATATTGAGTTATTCAAGTATTGCATTTGGTATTTCGTTTGTGTCGTTATGGCCATGCTATCACCTTGATCGAAATCTACTTATTATCAACTCGCAGGGATATCGCCGTACGCGAGATGGCAACTTCGGATACATCACACGCATTAACCACACCACCACTGAGTTTAGTCTCCGTGACAAGGGGCTCGGCTCCAGTCCATATTTCTCGCTAATTTTCGGCGGTAACTGCATTGCTGCGAATGCTTGTAGAAACGGCTTTCCAACCACGAATATACCTTTTTTTGGCCATCGAACATATCTATGGAGCTGCAAGATGTCACATTGGAGATCTATAGACACTTCAGAGATACCCAGAGACTCGCATTGGTCGTGCCAGTAATTATCAAATTCAGAACGACTCGTCGGCCACCTCGTATCACCCATGTTTAGAGACGACCCTAAGATGGCGAACCGTCGTAACACATATTCTGCCATTTCGGGATGTAATTTTCCAAATACTTGCTCGTAAACCCCTATCATACCCCAGTATATTGTCGCATTCAACCACAACTGCAATTCTGGATCTGACGCGTCGTAAGAAACACCATCCTCACTCGCCACCACTTTGTCATGCTTTCTTAAAACCAGTTCGCGCAGCCTTTAAATTTCGTCACCCTTCCCCAATAATAAAAGATAGACATACGTCAGCGACTTTATCCCGCGACCCTTCAAGTTGTGCTTGAAATTACTATGCTGCGATACACCTAGCCCAACCTTCGGGTGCGCAATCTGCATCAAAAGAGCCACAACCCCTCCAAGAAGACAGACACTCTCACTGACAATGGCATGGAAATTTTTTTCAGTTGGCTCCATTGACTACTTCGTAAATAAAACTGGCAAGGAGCTGATCAAAGTGAGGTCGCTCGCTCTTTATAACGTGATTCGCAGTGACTGATTATTGGATCATTATAATCTATATGTATATGGCCAGAAAATGCGCCCGCCCCGGAAGAAAATATAGAGTTTTTAACTAGCTGAGGTCTGCCCTATTTTTCCAATATCTAATGGCTTTTTCTATAAAAAACTCGCATTATCAGTATATCCAAGTTTAGAGCAAGCAAGCTGCCAGTTTGGATCCAGCCATATGATCACAGGACTGAGGGCCCGGCCATCAGCTGCGATACATTTGATATCACTAACTACCTCATGCTTTACTCGTGCTCCCCTTACCATCCTTTACCCACAAGGATCTCTAAGGAACTAGGATGAATTCCGTCTTCTGTGGAATTCGTTGATCGAATCTCGCTGTATCTTTATTTGGCATCTGGAATTAAATGTGTCGATCTTCTCCACAAAGACAACCGACTTCGAGGCCTATTGTCGCTCTAAGAATTCTGCTGTCACATCAGGCTTGGGTCTTGGCGAGCCTTTGCGAGTTGGCTGACTTTTTTCTCCCGTAATATCTGATTGAATTCTTGCCACCGAAATGATTTACTAGTAGGTAAGTAACAAGAGCCTAAATTACTATTCATATAGTAACACAAAAATTGGCCTTAGTTTGGTGGTTTTGAATTGCTTCACAATAGCATATTTGGGAATGCCAAGCCTCCGTAGTCACAATCTATTACTAAGTGACAAATTTATAGCAAGCCAAAGAAAGAAAAGAAGAAAGCACAAGGATTCTACTAAGAAAGATGACTCGCTTGTCAATGACATGAGCACCGTGGCAAAGCAAGAGTTGGAATATCGCGCGACGTGGTAATGCTAAAGTCAGCGCTGATCGTTTCCGGGAGTCGAGTAGGTTTGGTTCGGCTCCATGGTCAAGGAGAAGCTTGACTATAATTAGATGCCCCCCCTGAATTGCCCAAAACATAGGCCCCCAGTCTGCTGCAAGTCCCGACGGAGGGTTTGGGTCCGCTTTATGTCTCAGTAATAATTCAACGACTCCGAAATGGCCATTGGCAGCTGCCCTGCATATTGGCGTTAGCTCTTTCTGTGGCCATGAGAATTGGGTTCCACCCCTCCATATTGCATCCACTGGACAACCTCGTTTCAAGATTTGTTGCACAGGCGCTTCCCATCCACAAGCAGCAGTTATAGACAGAAGCAAAGCAAGGCTATGTTTATCCGCGGATTCGATCCACGAATCCAGCTGTAAGGCATTTCGAAGAAATGCAGCCACTTGGTAATGCCTTCCACATGCAGCCCATAGCAATGGAAGTAGCCGAGATTCAGTCTCCGTCCCGACAACAACCCATGCCCCATGCTGTCGGAGCAGCTTTATAGGTTCGAGGTGTCCATATTTGGCCGCCCAGCAGAACAACGACTCACCCGAACGAGTCGGTGTATTAGGATCTGCTCCCGCTGAAAGCAAAAGTTTCACGATTTTGAGGTGTCTTTGTTGTGCAGCAGTCGACAAGGCTGTCTGACCGCTCTTGGGATCCACACATGATAGAACCTTCCGCGAGTCACGTACACTCAAAAACTTCTTGACAGTTTCGATACGACCACAACGTGCTGCCCAGTGTAGAGCACTACTTTCAGAATAACGAATGTTATGCTGATAAAGTGTGCGGTTAAGTATTTGCAAGTCGCTGCACACTCGCAATAAAGAAATTATGTCACAATCTTGGTCAAAAAAATCGGCAATATAGAACAAGATTTCGTTGGGCAGACCTAGGAAGTGCATTGACGATATCCACGGAGATTTGAGTGTGGCTCATAGTAGTAGTAGAGCAGCTTGATATTATTTAAGGTCTGAGATAGCCGTAAGGTATCAAAGAGGTTCAGAACTGGGAGAATATTCCCAAGAGGATTGGGGAAAATTTTAAACAAAGATCGGAAGGAAAGAACTTCCGTCTTTCTATTACTGTGCCATTGTCATTGACTAGTCTCAAATGATCGGCAACCCGCTAGAGTATATGCTCCAGACAGGTATTTTTGCGACTTCCCTCATTAGCATACCACGCGATATAACAGGATGAAATACAACGAACGGTGGCCGATATTGAATTGCTAACTAGGTGGATTGCTGCTGTCCGTCTTAATGCGACCGATTTCTAGATGTAATGTTGTGGTATCTTTTGAACTTTTAGTCTTTATTTCTTATTTTATTTCTCACGTACCACTTTCCCTATTCAATTTCCGCTGTGGCGGGCTTCAAAAAGCAATCAAAGCTATTAATATTTATTGGAGAGCGGTGTAAATCAAATTACTCGTGTAGGGAAGTTGTTTGTTCGCGGTAAGGAACCGATGCTAGTGGTAATCTACAACTATACAAAGGACGACCACTTCCCTAGAAGTGCAACAGGTAAGAATTGGAAAGGAGCAGGGGCATCTATACTGTTATTGTTATATGTATCTCTTACATTCTTCGGCATGTTCCACGTCTGATATTTTCCATGTTTGCCTATTTCTGGGAATTGCTGGTTTCCTTGGACCGCTAATATGGTTATAAAACATAACATCGTAGTTTCATTAAAGTAAGCCGGACTATTAACACTCATACAGAAACATCGATATCCTGGGGTTATCCCTAAGAGAAAAAGTGGTCTTGGCGTATGGACTAGGAAATTAGTTGAAGATGCAATTCCGGGACATACCTGCGCTGAGAAGAGATTTACTTGCATCATTATAAAGATAAACTTCTAACTTTATTTTGTTTGTACAAAGCACGAATTCAAGGAGTCCATAAGTTCATCATGATGAGACAGAGTGGACTTCCATCATTTGATGTAAATAGACATAGCAAGGAAGGCGCAAGAGCGCAACAAGATACGTGTAACTGATCCCCACTAAGTAGTGGTGGAACCCGTGACAATAGCGTATTAAGGGCCTGAGGTATCGCAAATGCCTTAGCATGCATGCAGTCTTTTCTTAGAGATACCATAATCCTTCCACTTCCAATATAACTACAGCTTTTCCACCAGATTCTTCATTTATGATATAGCTTCAATACTAGTAAGATAGCCACCTACAGAGACTGCTCTCTACGCTTGAGCAGGGCATGGAAGTGGTTGGTTTTGCTCTCTCATTGATATCGGCTCCTCTGCTATGCCAGACTGCCATTGTGCTATGCTGGTATGGATAGGATCAAGTCTGAGATACAGACTGAATTCCTCAAGCAAGGGTAAAAACGTATGCGTTGCGACCGAAAAATAATTATAGTTATCCATATCACCCTTGGTTCTCCCAAGTGGATATGTCTAGGAAGCTCTCCTCTTCCGACCCGAAAGCCCCATGAGCACCGTATTGAGAGAATACTTAATGACTTGATCATGAGTGACTGACCGTCGTTAGAGTAAGCAGCCTCACCGGGTTGAGCAACCTCATAAATAGCGGCTGTTATGGTGCTTTTTAGTCTGTTGAAAATTTGTTCTGTTATGGAAAGTCTCGGGCGCCAGAACCACCAACTAGCAGGATCAGGGCCCAGTCAGGGCTGCTTACCTGTAATGTGTAAGTGAATTTATAGACGGAGGAGAACATAACGTGATATAATGCAGGATGTAGATTCCTAGGTTACAGTAGAGTGCCAACATGTAAGCTTTCACTGTAGCACAGGTCATGCGAATCACGTAGGTAGAATAATGTCCCCCTCTATCTACTTATAGACTTGGAGACTATACTTCCAGAAAAGTCTTACTGCTTGCACGAATACACCATGAAAGAGAGATACGACGCACTCAAGGATAGGATAGAGCTGTTCATAATCCAAATATCCAACGCAGCACCCATTAATTAGGTCAGAAAGATATTCGCAGCGATGTAAAGCCCTTTGTATATAATATACACTTTGATAGCATCATAGGGACAGTACCAGAAAAGTAGAGAAAGTAAAGCGAGATCCTTGTATATATTTGAAATATTTTCCCAACGCGTCAACTGTGGCCTACCTGTCAACTGCGGCCTAGCCGTCCATATCGCTGCTAACTTTAGAAAATCCCGCGCGCGACTTTCAACCTCGGTAATATACCTACAATCTTCGTGATTTGTATACCGCGCTCTATAGTTATCCGAGATCGCCTTTAACTCGTGTTCCATTTCGGCCCTGTCCGAGTATCCGTTTTCCAGCTTTTGAAGGTAGCACTCGAGGTAGCATTTTATTTCATGCACAATTTCCGAGATTTTCTGCTGGAGCTCGTCGTTGATGGGATCGTAGCGCACTAGGAACCGTAAGGAGAGGATCACCAACTCTCTGAATCTTTTATACTCTCCCTCCTTTTTTCCAATGTCTAGCTCTAGACCGATATTGGCACAGTATTCCATCAAAACAAGGGCACCACGCGGATTACACACGCTGATCGCTCTCCAGAAGACTTTATGAAAAGCCAGACATTCCTTTGTGTAGCAGGGAAGCAGGATCTGCAATGCCTCCGGATTTCCGGCCTGATGTATCAAGGGCGACTCCCCATCTTCATCCCGGAAATATAAAGATGATTCGTTGCTTGAAAGTATCCTTACTACCTGAGGATCTGTGGCACACATTAGAGCGGTGAAGCCGTCATCGTCTGTTTTGTTGACAATTGCACCACCGTCCATCAGAATCTGCACCACCATGGGATCAGGATTAAGACTGCATGCGTAGTCGAAAAAAGTGGTCACACCGTGGCGATTCTTAAAATTTACATCAGCACCTTTCTCTAGCAATAATCTAATAAGGGCAATGTGCCCGGTTACCGAGGCATAGGCAAGGGGAGTAATATCCCAAGACTGCCGATCTGAAGATTTGTTACAAACTAAGGATGGAGGCCAGCAAATCGGTTCATCTGGGTCGACACCATTTTCAATCAGGATCTTCACAACATCCGTCTGACCGCTAGAAAGTGCATAGCTAAGTGCATTGCGACAATCGACCTTGGGGTTTTGCTTAATAAGGCCCTCCACAATTTTTGTCTGCCCGTTTTCTGCGGCGAAACAGATAATAGTTTGAATATTATCATTCCAGGCATCGTCGGCGGTGTGTTCCCTTAGCCATCTGATTGCCACCTCATGGTCTGATCCAATCTGCCATCCTTCTGGTACAGGAATATTGCGCCTTGCGTATTCTACTTCCTTCTCATTCCTTAGATCTGCGAGGAAAAGAACAACGGCAATGTCGTCTGGTTTAGAAAACAGTTCAAGCGTTTTCAATAGCTCTAATGCTTCGGTTCCGTGGTCTTTGGCTAGAAAGGCAAGGTTATAGTTAGTAAGGTTCCAACCGGAAGTTTGTTCAGCAAGCTTCTGTGCGGTTTCCTTGTCGTCCATTCCTATAGCAGTATGCAGAGCTGTCCGATAGATGAATCGAGCCAAGCTACCCATTTGTCCTTTTCGCATAGCCTTACAAGTTTGAAGGACTTGATCAGGGCATTCCAGTTGGCGCATGGTCTCAATCAGTGTTGGTTTCGCGAACAGATCTGTTGGAAACTCCTCAGTGATATAGTGCTGGACTGGAGGGGACTTTGAAGACATTATGGGTCAATATCTAAGATCTTGACAATGTACGTAACTACTACGGTCAAGTAGCATTTTATAGTGTGTAAATGAAGTATATTTGCTACGTATGTTGATCCTAAAATAGATCTTACTACTTCAGTAATACCCCATATTGCGTAGTCATTCCTATCCAACTAGATGTAGAATCCTTCCACCGGTTTTAGCTCCAGAACCACTAAAATATATAGGATCGTAACTACTCCTCCCTTGGCCGTCATTGATCCCTAAACGGATCCTCTTTCAATAACACGGGATCAAGGACTAGACAATACAGATCATTCGACCAGTAGTTAGTCCTTTTGCTCAACCTTCTTCGAACCACTATTGAGGTCTCGAATAGGTTCTAATGTCAGAATTGCTAAAAGGGTCAAAATCTTACTAAGGCGCACGTCATGATGTGACTAATATTTGGTCTAAACGAACAGCTGTTATGGGTCTTACGTCGTACAGTACCATAATTAATTCCTGCGCCTCCTTGCTGTCTCCGGGTGAGCTAATTAGGAACTTTTCCAGGATAATAGTGGATGCGAGCGAGTTTCGAATGATAGTAGCAAACATTGTCTCTTTTCGGCGCGCGTACAAAGTGATCGAAATCAGATTCACTATTTATAGAGGTTCCTTTTCGAACCCTCTTTCGAAACACGCTATAGCTAGTACTGTTACTCTTCTCCCTGTCTTTGCAGTAATCAACTACGGCCGTAATGACATACGCTTTTGTATGAGCTCATACAGTGGGTCCAAATTCCGACTTTCTTTTTGCTTCAGGGAACGTGCCTCTCGGGAATCCCGCCGTTACCGCTCAAGAAAGTTCAGAAAACAAATAAATTGATTTTAATCATCTAGGATGAGCTGGTCTAGAAAATCATAACAATATTTGGATTCTAGTATTGGTTGTGTCATGAACAGACAAATGTTGGCTGTGACCCAGAGAGGCACGTGACATGTGGCTTCAATTTAGAGACACTCCGGAAACAGCCCGAAAAGTTGCGGTGAAAATATTCAGTGGACGTACTGTAACGTACCATATATTTACATTTTTAAGTATTTGCACACCCGCTTCTATGATTTATTACAACGGACTCATGAAATCGATTGCGATATACACGAGGCCAGTACCAATCCGAGAAACCATTTTCACTCTCTCGTCCGTTGCAAGTGCTGCGGCATCCCTGACTTGAATATCAATTTTTTGCGATCTTATAAGACAGCCTGAGTCTTAGACCAGCTAGATAGGATTTCCGTTTGGCTCTTCGTTGCTAGTTCTGCCTTGATCATGGATTTGATTGTTTCAACTCCAACGGAGATTTTTGATAGCATGTTTCGAGTATCGCCTTTACGGAATCTGGATCACTCTCACACACCACGCCCCTTAAAGGCGATGACCCATCTATGGCAACAAACAGAGAGTTGGCCACTTTTCTAGCAGGAGCTCAATCGCCCGCTTGCGTCTAGGTAATCTAGGCGCGCACGTTATCCAAAGCAACGGCGTTCTGTCGGTTTCGGAATCACGAGCCTCGATATTTGTACCCGTTTTAAGGAGGAATTCAATGTGTTCTTTTGTTTTCCGCCTCAATACCGTAGTATAATGCTTTCCCCGGCAACCAAGATACTTCCCTGCGACTTGGAGAACTGCGTGTGCTAGTATGGGGCAGCCAAGACGTGGGGTGCCAGGGTACCCAGTATTGATGTCGAATCTGGCACTGATAAAGACGTCAAAACTTAGTGTATCGTCTTGGCCAAGAAGGCTTTGCAGCGTGAAGAAATGCACTCTGATGTTCTTTACGTTCCGGCTGAAGTTGAAGTCCATGCTCAATCAGTAGGTTGAGCGTCTCTGGCCCTGCTGTGACTGCTACACAAAGGTATTCCTCTGGTAACTCGTTCAAACAAACCAAGGGCTCCGCGCGGTGATCCAGAAGAAACTGAGCGCATTCAGGCCGGCCCTCTAGTATTGCAGCATTGAAAGGCGAGCCATAGAACGGATCAAGGACATGCGCTGAGTACCTTTCGCACTCAAGGAAAAGTTTCACAATATCCTGACAGCCTCAGCTTATAGCCTCAAAAAGCGAAGTGCACTCGGGGCGACCGGAACGGCCATTGTTAGCGTCGGGATAGGCACCGTGCTGAAGTAACAGCTTTACTCGACTTGGTAATTGTCGAAGCAGTCAAACGGACGGCCATGGAGATTCTTCTAGCAGTCATCAAGAATACCATATCCGTCAAGCAACCTCTTCATGAGGTTTATGTTGCCTCTTGCTATAGCCCCATGGGAGAGAGCCCAACGGTTGTGCCTCTTGGATGCAATGGTCTTATCGACGAGAGCCATACGGACAACACATCATAGCGGCGTGGCCGTTCAGCTTATTGAACGAGGCAGACCAGGCAGATTTCGTTTACACGTAAAGAAAAACAGGCAAAAAATCTACTCGGGACTTTTGGCCTATAATGTCAGAAATATGGTGGATCTGCGTGTGGATTTCTGGGTATTTACCCAGAATATCTTACGACATCAAATCAGACACCTCACATAAAAGTGCATATTACTCTTTGTCAGCATATCCTACAAAATTGTCAAGTTCATAGTTTTTAGTTAGAGAGAGTTTAATATTACCGTTCGGAACCCATACAATGTTGGTCACTAATTTCTGTTATATAACTCTTACTTTTTCATTTTCTAAATGGGTCGCCCAATAAAATATCTGATTTGCGTCTCTCACCTTCTTTTCTCTAGCAGACTCGACAAGCCGTGAACTCTCTCTTCCTTAGGCCTATACTTAGGGTCACTGTTTCCTATCTTTTTGCTAGTGAGGGGTGGCATATATAGAAGGTATCTGTCAAGGTAATGCGAACGATCTACTTAGTATTAGGGCCGCCTATATATACTGTACTCTAGAAACAACGCTTCAGACAGTGATTTGATTCCTATATACTAATCGGGGGTTATACAAGTCACCATTGACTTTTATTTCCTTTCCACGCTAAACGAACATACGGATACTATGAGATCCAGGCGGAGGAAGGGTTGGATGTCCAAGCAGAACGTCATAACCACTGTCGCATGCGTAATATAGCCGACCATTGTTTACTGAATATTGCCGGGATCCGCAGCCGGGTTGTGTCTACTCTACCTCGGAGTTTTATAGTCAACGCATTATCTGTCTTTGTGGGCGAAGTCCAAAAATTGTTTTTCATTCAATGTGGATCTTGTAGGTTACGTTAAAGTAAATGACACGGAGATTTGGCTTATAAGAATTGCGTTCGTCGGTGTCGTTTGTGTTCGCGAATGTTCGGTACGCGAGATCCTGCTCGAAACTTCAAGGCATGTCTTAAGAAACTTCTGGTAGCTTCTCGCGCGACTATATGAATAACGTTCAGTTTCTGCCCACCGACGTGTACCTTTCAATGATAAGATGAGGCTTTTTGTCATCACCCATATCCTTTGTTTTTGTTCTTATTGTCTCATACACCTTTGCCAGGCGGGTGTCTAGGGATAGATAGAATGGAAGGGACTCCACTACCTCATCGTCATCTCCCTGTTTGATCAGAAGTGACATTCTTGCCGATATGGCGACAGGGTCAAAATGCTTAATGAGGGCAGAAGCAGTGCGCGCCTCAGATAGCTTTGGGCCATCCCAAGGCATGCCGTAAGGACTTTCACTTAGTTTTTCACTCTGAGCATAGTAGAGAGGGATTCCAGGGCCAAAGGTATCTAGAGTGCTATCAGCGATCGCCCCCAAGGGTATGAAACCCGTACCACGTTGAAACTACAAAAGAGCATACCAGTATTCGAGGGGACCTTCATCATCTTAGAAGTACGGTATTTGGCGTCCCTAGGATGAGATAGATGAGGCTGTGTATTGTGGTATAATAGTGACGGCTTGCTTGTTATTGACTAGTACTCCGTAGGTATCTAAATCGAGCACAGTGAGCCATGGCAACGTAGGTCTCTAGAGTTGGCCCGAAGAAATCCAATGGCTATTTGCGACTAGATTTTATTTTGATTTTTAAGGCCGACCTGGGTCAATTTATATCTGATTTAGAACCCCTTGGATCTCGTGGTCATTTTTTATCAATAATATCAAAACTAATGACTATCTGGAAAATACGCTACCGAGATAAAATAATCCGTACTTTCACTACCTCGAAAGAGGCATCAGATCAACCTCCACAAGACGGTAAATGTAATCTGCGTGCGCATTTGCCGAGTACGCATCCTCCGAATTTCAGTCAATGGTTTGTGCTTACCACGTCCTGGCTAGCGGAAAGGATGATATTTGCGTTTACGCAAGGGGAAAAAAAGAGCAGGCCACGTAACGGGTCGAGCATCTCAGCATTATCTTCAGGCGATTTGACAATGAAGCCAAAGGAAAACAAACAGTGAAAAAGATGGACCGTGGGGATTTTCCGATCTCCACTTGAAGGATAACAATCCTGACTGGACTAGGATATAAAGAAATGAAATTCACTGTAGAGTAGTTTTCGAAATCAGTTATAAGTCTGAAGGACACTAGCGTATTATAGTTCACCGCTTCATTATTCCAGCAGAGTTGTCATCGCAATGATTGTATTAGATGAGTCAGCTATAGTACCGTAATATTACGCGTATCACCCAGAATCAACTCCTTGGATCTAGTGTCGGAACGTGGTCGTTACAGTACGGACTAGTACGGGCATCGCCAATTGAGTATTTCAGAGTGTTTTTATATACTATAGAAAGTGCAGAATAAATAGGGGATGAGCTTAGTAAGGTCGTTGAGAGCCTTAACGATCATCAGGCAGAGGGAGTGCTGAATATTCCTCGGGCGCACTAGTAACATTTCGACCCTCTTTTGTTGACATCTAAGATCACCCGCCACTCCGCCTTATCCCGCTCTCCTCAAGGACAGTGTGAATTGTTTTGTCTATACACGGGAGAACTTATAATCAACGATGTAAGATGTGCGTGATGCGACTCTCAGAACTCGACTTTGGCACGTTGCAAACCACGGTTATCCCGATGATGTGCGGAACTTACGTGACTAGACTCGTCGTGAGCTCGCGTTTCCCGAACGGGCCTCTTACACGGACACGTACGCATATGACGTCGTTTAGGGAAATTAGCTAATACACCTCAGATCAGGGGAATTGATAGGGACACTCCCACTTTTGTTCCGGACACTCCTAATTATGTAATATCCATGATTAGGTAATTGAAAACGTCATGTGATTGTATTGGAATTACCACAGCAACATCATTCTAAATGTCATACCATAGTATAGTATATTAAACGTATAAATCCCCAGCTCTCGCCTCCCTCTTTTCTTAGCTCCTCAAATCTCTGCCTCTCGGATTTTTCAGAAATGGAGCCCCCTACTGAGCAAATTTTTGATAGCAGAGATTTATTAATTGCCTCTGTCCGTCAGCATGCTCTCTCGCAAGGTTACGCTGTCACTACTATACGATCAATCACAGATAAGTACATCTATCTTGGTTGTGACCGTGGTGGCACGTATCGTGACCGAGTGAATGCTCCTGATGGAGCGAAACGAAGAACGACAACTACACGGCGGATTGGCTGTCCATTTAAGCTATACGGGAAAATGCTTTTTGATGATAAGTGGGAGCTACAGGTCCAAAACCGGAATCATAATCACACAGCTGATGATAATATGATCGGACATTCAGCTGCCCGTCGGCTCACAGAGGAGCAGCTTCAAAAGGTCCTACATCTATCGGAAATTGGATCTCCCCCTCGTGGCATCCTAGCTCTAATCAAACGAGAGCATCCTAATGCTTTAGTTACCCCTCGAGACATCTACAATGCGCGAAGTGCTTTACGAAGGCAAAAGCTCGGTAATAGTACTCCCCTTGAGTTTCTACTGAAGACTTTGAAGGAAAATCACTGGAAATATGCTATTAAGCAGGATAGCGAAGGACATGTCCTCTTTTTTATGTTTGCACACCCAGAGTCAATCAAGTATGCTAACCTATACAACAGGGTATTCGTCCTAGACTGCACCTATAAGACAAACCGATATCGTATGCCTCTATTGCATATTATTGGTGTCTCGCCATCAAATTCAACCTTTAGCGTTGCATTTTGCTTTATGCAGAATGAACAGGAAGAGAGCTATATTTGGGCTTTAAAGACTTTTTTCTCATTTCTCGACCCCCTCTCTTTCTATCCAGTTCTTTGTACAGATAGAGACCTTGCATTATTAGGTGCTGTCAAGGTCGTCTGTCCAGATTATCCCCATCTTCTTTGCATCTGGCATATTAACAAGAACGTAACGTCTAATACGAAGCAGCATTTTACGACGAACGCCGAATATCAAACATTTCAAAAATCATGGAATCAGCTAATTTATTCTACTACAGAGAACGACTACAATTCGAGGCTATCAGAGTTCGAGAAGCGATATCAGACCTCCCCTTCTCTTCGATATGTTAAGGAGACATGGCTAATTCATAAAGAAAAATTTATAGTTGCATGGACACAACAATGCCTACACCTCGGTAATTCTGCGACCTCTCGAGTTGAAGGCTCACATGCCTTTTTAAAAAGCACATCGGTGCTTCGACAGGGGATATGTTGATCGTATTTGAAAGGATTTCACAGGCTTTACAAACCCAGCATGCTACGCTTGAATATGATTTTAGACGAGATCAGATTGAGAGGCCAGTAGTAACCTTACATCAACTTTATACTAATATTGTGATCAGGACCTCCCGCTATTCGATACGACTAATTGGCGAGCAAGTTACAAAGGCTAGAAGAGCTACAAATCTTGCTCCTTTACCCCCTTGTACTAATACGTTCACAAGGACAATGGGTCTTCCTTGTGCCCATCGGATTACTAGTTTATTGGAGAGCAATAAAGCTATCCCATTGACAGATATCCACCCATTCTGGCGAACTGGGCTTTCTGAAATGGAATCAGAATACCTTCCTCTCTTAGAGCCTTTGATTCCTTTTCCAAAGCCTAAAAAGCGGAAGTGGGATCAATTGGAGCAGAAAGACAACAGCCAGACTATGAATAAACGGAAGAGGGCACCCTTTAAATGCACTGCATGTGGTAAAGTTGGGCATACACGAAGGTCATGTAAATAATACGGAGAATGAATACCAATACAATCACATGACGTTTTCAATTACCTAATCATGGATATTACATAATTAGGAGTGTCCGGAACAAAAGTGGGAGTGTCCCTATCAATTCCCCTCTCAAGCAGGTCCTTTACGTAAGATTCACGGTGGACAGATCGCCCATCTACTCAGTAACCGGCCCTTACATTTTTTACAAAAATTACAGACCCTCCTAACGGAGGGTCCGCCACCCATATGAAAGGGATCACCCAAATGACAGATTTTTCCTACATTTTACTTTAACCTCAATTTACTACACCACCACATAGTAAATTAATTAATTTAACAAGAGATATAGATGAATTAGTCAACTTACTACTATAATACAAAAGCAATTTAATTTCCACTGCGTTTTTTGGCCCTTCCATGCTTCCTGATTTCGACCAATACCTTCTTCCACTTCCGCCTCGTTTTCTCTTGATCGGCTTTTTCGCTCAGTTTATATTCTTTTCGCTTTATTTCTTTGAGCTGGTTTGAATTCATGATGCCGGTAATCCGTACATGACGGCGAGATGCATCATACCGGGCGTGGCGAGCTCCCATGATAGCTTGTGTTCGATCGAATTCCCGCTGTAGCTGGAGAGCTAAAGTAGCCTGCGCCTCAGCACCTTTTGCAAGCTTTGCCAACCCCTCTTTGAAATGCTGAGTTGTAGGATCATATTGATTAAGCCGTAGGCTTATTCTTCTCATTTTTTCAGCGGTTTTTGGGGTGCTAAACTCAGTGTTTTGTGAGTTTATTGATGGTGTATTCGACCGGTATAGATTGTCATAGTATGGATCGTATGACTCAAATTCGTCGGTAATAAGCTTAGAATTAATAGGCCAAAGGCCTGTCAATTTAAATCCAAGCTTAATTGTATGCGGTTTGAAGGTTTTTCGACGAATTTCCCCTATGGAATGTAGGAATTCATCCTTTGAGAACTTGCGGCATCCAGTCATTGTTGCGGCCTCGACAGCCTCACTATGCCAGTGTTTATAAACACTAAACACTCCGACATCGAGAGGCTGTAATACATGACTAGTATGCGAGAGTAAAAAGAATAAAATGATATTATTCTTCTCACAAAATTGGACGAATTGACGCGTCATATGGGCTCCAAAACGGTCGCATAACACAAGCCTTTTTGCACCTAGTGTACGGCCAATAGTCCACTTATGGAATAGCTGAATCCACTGGAATGCTAAGGTATCATTGATATAGCCGGTGTCAGTGACAGCTAGATGCTCATCTTCCTTAATAGCATCAAACCAGCGTGCTAAGGCTTGCTTTGCACTTAAAATAATAAGCGGCGGGCAGGCAAAACCATCAGCAGAGACAGCCTCCAAAACAGTCACAGATTCTCGGTTTGTGATAGATCCATTGAATAGCTTCTGTTTTGGATGTCTAGTAATGATAAATTGATCACGTCCGACACCAATTTGAAAGCCAGTTTCATCAAAATTGTAGATGTCTTGCTGGCATATACCGTGCTCAGTCACCACTTGTTTATAGTCTTGAAACCACCTCTCAACAACAGATTTATCAAGTGCAGCACTTCTTTCAACATCAAGAGCCTTCCTCCGTCGTACATAGTACTCAGGATTACGTTTGAGAAAACGTTTTAGCCAGTGGTCGCCGATTTGAGGGGGCGGTTCGCTCTCGTCATGGTGGTCTTCTTCGAGGATTGAATTGGCTGCAATAGCAATTTGACGGCGATTTATCGAGGCTCCGACCGTATCAAAGTAATTGATATATTCACATAAAGCCTGCTCTTGTATGGAATTAAGCCTCCGGCCATTGGGTTGTCTTTGAAAAAGCGATTTTCCACCTTTCCATCGCCGTCGGAGTCGACCTTCGGGGGCCGCGAATTCTCGCGCAGTTTTTGCAATATTGGGTTTAGATTGCTCAGAGAGAGAGTCCATTGCTTTCTCAATCTGGATCTCTATTTCTTTATTGATTTTGGGCATGGTGGGCTGCGTGGTGGAGGATCAATGTGAAAATGGTAAATTTAAAAAAAATCTGTCATTTGGGTGATCCCTTTCATATGGGTGGCGGACCCTCCGTTAGGAGGGTCTGTAATTTTTGTAAAAAATGTAAGGGCCGGTTACTAGGGGTTTGAAGATTCTTTAGACATTCCGTACCTGTAGAGTAATGGAATTTGAAAATAAGGAGATAATTTAAACCAAATAGCCAATCTAGAAAGAGTATGGCCAAGAAGAATAAAAATAAAAATAAAACTAAAAATAAAAAGAAAAAGAAAATTATAATTAATAATTTGTAAATAAACCCCCTATGGACTAGTTTCCGCCTTATTCGCAGAAAAGCAGCGCCTAAGGATTATCTCGCATTTTGCAGAGTAAACATGCAAACAGAAAGACCTCAGCTGATTTAAAGTTTGACCACATTGGTTTCGCCGCTCAAGCCCCAAGAATCGACTAATGGATGGAAGATTCCCCCAAGGCCTTCCGAAATGACTAGACGAAGACATGCATGCCTCGAGAATGTCACTAGCATTCTCCATTCGGCACGTAGAACAAAGGGTAATATTCATTGCCCATTGCCCAATTCAGCTGCCTCAAGGTGACTACAATATCTATACGTGGTCTAGACCCACATACCGACACGAGACTCCTCTGAAATTGGAGACAATGCCGAGACAAACTTTGGACCTCGGACTCCTCGTGTGGCCTGCTTTCTTAAACCCAATACAATAGGTGCATCTGCATCATTTCGGCGAGTCGCGGCTTTATGATCTATGTGTCCATTGCCCAATAAAGACTTTATAAGGTAGGAAAGCCTCGCAAAGGTATACGAGAGACACGGATATTCCGAGGTTTTAATCTCCCAAGGAATATTGAATGCCCACGGGAGGCAGGCCTGTGGATGTGATCGGCCCATCAAGTGTGATGTTTGTAGGTGGTAACTAGACGAAGACATCCGTCCAACATCAGCTGGGCAAAAGACAAAAAATATGCTAGGAGAAGCACAAAGGCCAGTAAATAACACTGAAAATAGTGGATTGTTTCCACGCTATAAATAGCGAAGAACGGTATGGTGCCTTTCCTAGGTCCATTTCTATACGTTTCCCTTGCTCTAAATCACAAAGTGCGAGAGCTTAGAATCAATATTCACATGAGAGGCTCCTTAACATCAACTTATAAGGCCCTATTCAGCACGGATGATTCTAATATCATGCCCATTTTCAACCGTTATCGACCCTACACATATTGCATATATCCAGCCTTGTTGCCAGACTGGAAGAACGAACCTTTACAGACACGATATAATCAATACAGTATATATATATCCAAGCAAAATGACTTGAATAGCGGCAATTACAGCTCTCACCCACCCAAATGCAATGGGCAGAAGAATCTCAATATCAACGTTCCTAAGCATCGGAAAAAGCCCGACATAATGCACAACCATAGAAGATGCAAGGCATTCAAAAGAACTCAGGTCAGCCTGCTTTCGACACGAGATGTGCAGAGAAGTATAAATCAACATTGGATAGTTCTTCTTGCAGCCTCGAATGTAGAGTTAGGTCGTCGTTAGTAATTGGGCATTCAAGTATAGCTTTCTCCACCCGCTCCGTTAGATTCTTTGTCTGTAAGTCAGTAGGGCCATGCCCACAGCTTGGTGATTTTGGCTCGCAGGATATCGTGCTACGACCACTTTCATAATAATTCATGGTCCATTTGAACATTTTGCCCTCGTGATTGATAACCAAAACCACCATCTCGAGTTTCAGTTATATGAAGATACTCAAACACGTCAGGGTAGATTGGTATTCCCTTATAACAGCTCGGGTATCTTTCTAATATAGCCTCTTAGTTTGGTTTATTTATGGACTGTTGTTTGCGGGCGTACGCTCATCAATAGGTCATTTACACTAGGTATAGAATATGACTATATTTTTTTGGAACGCCAGAGTATGGAATTAAATCCTATATTTGGTGCCGTGCCAATTAAAACCGTCCACCAAGGTCGCGTTGGAAATATTTGGGTTAGGTAGGCCAGTGAGCCGAAGTAGATTTCCTAGATAGGCTTTCCTAATTATTTCCCTGGATTTGCCAAGAACACTACATAAGTTCTTTCGTTTCGGCATATCCATTCCTCGAAATAATTGTAATACGCAATTCCCTAATTTGGATAAATCTTCTTTCAATGTTCGATGGATACTTTTGGAGCCGGAGGGGAGCATCTGGGTCGTTGTAGCGTAAGGTAAGTACGCAGCCATTTTCTACTCTGCTAGGTTCTAGTTTAAGTAGAATCGAAGAGCGTTTACGCTGCCGTTACCCACTGTAAAAATTGTATGAAAGGATTTCGTTGTTGAGGTATGAGGGTCGACTTCAAAGCTTCCTAGTAGTTCTTGTAGCATTCCTACCCTATCGGACCGAAGTGCTGCTTCGGGTCTCTGATGAACTTTCACGACTCTTCCAGTCTTAAGCAGAAATCGCTTCGGCTAAGCTAGATAAAGAGTTCCATATTTGCCACGAGTAGCTGTAGCAAGCAGACACACTTCCAAAACTTCCAAAGGGCAGATATTCCAACAAAATGAAAAGCCAAGGTAGCCCATTTGTGGATCAGTGCCTTTGACTAAATTTTTCTAGCTCGGATGATCAATTTTCCTCCCCAGCGTCGTATCGGGATATCCAAACCTGCCTTGCTTCCCAAAATCTTCGTTTTTCTCGACGTTGGTTCTTTCGTCATCGAAGTAATCGGAGGATTTATGGCCACTGGTACCTCAGAGCAGCAAATGCACGGCATCCACGTCTATATGATCGGCATCGGTATCCAACAGCTCTTTATCGTCTGCTTTCTGGTCTTAACTTTCCAATTTCATAGATTAATACTGAAGTTGGCGCTAGCCAACTGTCTAGCGATAAGCAGAGATGGCGAAAACCACTCTATATGTTGTATGCGAGCCTTTTAGCTATCACGGTGCGTATTCTGTACCGCTTAGTCGAATTTTCGGCAGGCTACGTAAATTCCAACCCTGTCCTGTATCATGAATGGTATATGTATGTCTCCGATGGCATTTCGATGGCTGTCGCCATCGTTGTCTGGAACTTCGCGCCACCCGGCGCTGTGTTACAGGGTCAGGATGCAAAGGTGCCTTCCAGTGGCATCGGCAAGGATCTATGGGCTGCTTTGATAAGCAAATATCGTTTGAGCCTTCAGGGACATCACTGTCGGACTCTTTCGAGTCGGCATATTTATCTCACTGGCCTAGCGATTATTCTCTCACATGCAACCGATATTTCTCCTGAGGTGCATATTCGAAAGGTACCATTACCAAAACGCTGTTCCGACTGTCCCAAGGTAGGTTAGACATTTTGGCTCTTTCCCCTAAACCAGACGAACGAAGACCCACAATGTCTTCCGGAGCGGCCGTATGCCTCTCATCGGACTTGTATCTAGCCATGTAGATGGCAAGGAAAGCCTTTTGTCCGTCACAGCCTTGATGAAATAGTCAGCCAAACCTGTCGACGGCTTACTCTATATTCCAAATTCCATGTGCTCATACTTGCACTGTAATTCCTCCACCCACATCCGCAGACTTATCTTTACATACCCCTGTCTTCAGGAATGGTATCTTTCGTGCTATGGGAATCAATGACGAGATCTGACCTGTCTTGTCTGCTCAGTAATCCGTGCGACCAAACTAGTGATAAATGGAGTTTTATGCTCATATCAGGAATTACGTTGTTGGTCTCGGCGTAGTGATACACTGGTAAATGATATCAGCTCACTGGACACAAGGGGAGATGCTCCGAATCGGCATTTAAGACGCCACCCCCAGCCCCAAACCTTGCCTATATCTTCTCAGCGGAAGGTTGACCCTCAGTTTTAGCTTGTCTCATCTGTGTCGAGCTTACCTCGTTTGAACATATGGTGGAGTTTGTGGAGAACTATATCCATCATGCTCCCATCTCTACTCCCTCTACGGGACAATCTGTTCTCGCAAGTCGATGCCCCGGCCGATTCTGCTATAGATATCAATCAGATAGCACATACCTCCGGAAGGCCCGTTTTATGCGTCTCAACTCCTCCTGTGCAAAGGGACATTACCTCCCAGCCTCATTTTTCGACTTCCTGTTCAGATAGTGCCATAAGGGCGCATTCGGCGGTTCCACCTTCAGAGGAAAATCCAGGCACGACACCGTCGGCTGCCACTGGTTCCTGTCAGACAATTTCCAACTCGACGACCACAATAAAGTCAACTACACGCCCCCTTCCTATCACACAACTCAATGGAACTTTCCAGGTTCCACATATTCGCATCAAGAACACCAGACCATACGGGGGCCAATTTGCTCCAGAGTCTATGATAGGTTTCTTATGCGATCTGAACTCGAATTTTGAGGCGATCGTCTCGGAATCCTCATTCTGGGAGGAATATTCGGAATTCTGTCGACCTCAACCAACCGAGCTTTACCTAGCCGAGGGGCTCACTCGAGAAGCGGGAGGGGCATCCATTTGGTTGAAACGCGAGGATCAAAACGAACACGGAACCCACAAGACCCGTCATATTACCGGTCAGCTTCTGTTAGCCCGTCGAATGGGCCGGTTAGACGTTGTCGCAGATTGCGCCTCTGCCAAACATGGAATATTCACCGCTGGTCTATGCCGTCGATTAGGGCTAGGCTGTGTAATTGCCATGGGGGAAGATGACATCTCCGCTCAGCCGACAGGGGTTCGGAATATGCGGGATCTCGGAGCCAGGATCATTTCTGCTCGTGCACCTTCCGGCAAAGGAACCCTTCGAGCCGCCATCACAGAGGCCTTGCGATATTTGGTTTCTCATTATCAGACTGCATACTACCTCATTGGTGGCCCACTCGGTCCAAGTCCCCTACCGAGACTGGTTCGTACGTTTCAGGCTCTTCTCGGGAAGGAGGTCTCGGCCCAGCTCCAAGAAATAGCAGATCCTCTCCCCGATGCTGTTATCACTGCTATTGGT